CGGCAAAGCCTGGCAAGTTCCCTGTGGTGTATTCGATATGCCAAACACAGTAACAACAAGTCTCACAATGGAGACGTTACTGGGCCCGCTCGAGCCAATCGATGAATAACAGGAGGACTGTGACCGTGACCGTGACCTCATGGTGAATAAGGTAAAGGTAAAGGTAAAGGCCCTCCCGTTGTTCGTCGATTTGCTCGAGCGGGCCCAGTAACGTCTCCATTGGAGACTGTGTTGTATAAAAAAACAAAAAAAGAATAAAGGTAAAAAAAAAAATGAAATGAGCCAGTATCATGCACAGCCTTCTCAGGGGCAGGGTCATGACACTGGCACTTCCTGGCTCCTGCGTGGGCCTCTGTGACTCAGCAGACCATGCCCTGTTGCTTTCTGGCGGCTGTTGCTAGGGTCATGCCCTTCGGCCAATCTGGGCTGGTCAGTCTGGCAGAGGGTTTATCTTTTATTTTGCCACACCCAGAGATGCTCAGGGGTTACTTCTGGCTCCACACTCAGGAATTATTCCTGACAATGCCTGGGGACCATATGCGATGCCAAGGATTTAACCTGGGTCGGCTAGGCAAGCGCCCTCCCCACTATACATTACTCCAACCCCTTCACAATCACGATCATCCTGATCATCCTGTTGTTCGTCGATTGCCTCGAGCAGGCACCAGTAACATCTCCTTCCTATCCCTGAGATTTTAAAAGAGCCATATTCAATGCTCTTTCAGGGTTAGGAGAATGAGACCCATCATTGTTACTGGTATTTGGCATATAAAGTACCACACGGGAAGTTTGCCAGACTCTGCCCTGAGGGCAGAATACTTTCAGTAGCCTGCCAGGTTCTCCAAAGTAAGAACGAGCTACAAAGTAAGAACTGTTGTTTGCTTCCGGGAGCTGGGTTTTACAGTCTCTGGGTCTTGGCTGTTGATGGGACCACCTGGTGCCAGTGGCAGCTGGTGGGTGTGACGCCTAGCTACTGGAAGATGGGGGATCTGGGTGGAGAAGACCCAGTCCAGATCCGAGCAGGCTTGGAGATCTCAGCCCTGGGACCCGCATGCCTGGGTTCCTCTGCTGATTCCTTCATGCATGAGGCTTGTCCGGACGTGTGGAGAGTGGTCTCAACATGGCTGTGGCTGGTTCTGGAGCTCTTTGGCTGTCGGGGCTCTGCTCGGGGCAGGGAGGGAAATTCAACCTGCCCCCCTCCAAGGGGCCCTGGTGAGGACAGCCAGGCGGAGGGGCAGGAGACTCTTCAGCCCCTTATTCTCTTTTATTTGAAATTTAATAGCTTGCCATTAATACTGGCATACAAAATCTGGAGGAAACCCCAAAGCAGCACTCCTTCCCAGAGCCCAGGGTAACCTCTTGGAGCATAGAGAGAAGGCTGACAAGCTCCCCCCCCTCCCCACACACACACCTCCTTTTTTCCTCCTCTCTGGCCCCTACAGGGATCTCTAAATGCTCACAGAAACTCCTGGGGACCCACTTTGCATTTCCATCGGTTCTGGAAAAGGCTCCAGATTCTAAAGGGTGCTTAAATGGGGGGTGGGGTCTCGTGCCTGAAAAAGTTCCCAAGAAACAAAGCCCCTTGCAAATCTCCTAGACCTGCCCCCTGGTGAATGCTAACTACTCTTTGCCCCAGTGAGAACACACTGGCCATGCCTTCAGTCCTTCGAAGTCTCCTGGGAATGAGTTTATGCTTTCCATGCGATCTGTATGGAGAAAGAGCTGCCAGTTTCAAGGAAACGATTTGCCGAGCCGCGTTCTGTAGCTGTCTTTTGGGACATGGTTTGTGGAGCTTCGGCTTTTCTTTTTTCTTTTTTTGGTTTTTGGGTCACACCCGGCGATGCACAAGGGGCTACTCCTGGCTCTGCACTTAGGAATTACTCCTGGCGGTGCTCAGGGGACCCTATGGGATGCTGGGAATCGAACCCGGGTCGGCTGCGTGCAAGGCAAACGCCCTACCCGCTGTGCTATTGCTCCAGCCCCTTCTTTTTTATTTCTAATATTTATTTGAGGAGCCGGGCCACACCAAAAGTGCTCAGAGGTTATTCCTGGCTCTGAGCTCAAGAATCACTACTGCAGGGGACCATATGGGATGCCGGGGCTCAAACCCAGGTTGACCACGTGCAAGGCAAGTACTCTCTCCCTGTCCTACCCGGCACTGACTTCTCTCAAAGGAAACTGCGACTGCAGGCCTTTATCCCCATGGACCACGAACATCTCTGAGGGTCTGTTCTGTTCTGAGACTGTTCGCTCTTTGTTTTGGGGTTTTCTATTTCATTTGTTTTGGGGGCCACACCCAGAAGTTCTCAGGGGTTACTCCTGGCCCTGAACTCTGGGTGGTACTTGGGGGACTATAAGGGGTGCCCGAGATTCAACCTGGCCCCTACCTGCTGTGCTCTCTTTATCCCCTGCTCACTTTTTTTTTTTTTTTTTTGCTTTTTGAGTAACACCCAGCGATGCTTAGGGGTTACTCCTGGCTTTGCACTCAGGAATCACTCCTGGCGGCACTTGGTGGTACTCGGGGTCCATATGGGATGCTGAGAATCGAACCTGGGTCGGTTGAGTGCAAGGCAAACGCCCTACCCGCTGTGCTATTGTTCCAGCCCATTGGTTTTGTTTTTGAGATGCTGGGAATGGAACAAAGAGCTACATCCATGCCAGACTCATTATCTGGTTACTCTTGGGTATCCCCATCCCCAGCTTGAGCTTAAGAGTTTTCTAGGGCAGGGCTGCTGATCACTGCTAAATCCCTCTGTCTAGATTTCTCTGCAATCTCTCTGCTGAGCTTTGGAGATTCATGATTAAATCTCAAAAGAGACCAACTAGCCTCAAAATTTTTAGATACACTGGTCCCCAGCTGAAAACTTTGGGCAACCTTGGAGGGGGGCAGGCCAAGAGCCCACCCAGCCGAAACCCCAGCAGTGCCCTCATACCCCAACAGATGCCGCCATGCCCACACGGCCGGACTCCACCACCTCATGACTGAGCTCAGCAGAGATGCCAAACTGCCAAAACGTTCAGGTCCACCAGACTTTTTTTTTTCAGCTGAGAACTCCCAGCCTTCTCAGAATGGGAATGGGCAACCTTCCCCATCCCTAGACCCGCAGCACTCCTGGAATCCCTAGATTCTTCTGACTAGTGTTTCTCAACCTTAGAAACCCAAAGGTAGTAAGAGCCTGGAGCATAATGGATGCCCCAAGCCAAATCCCAGCCCTGCTGGAGCCCCAGGGGACTTCATCCTTAATTCATCCTTAGGGGAGTTTGTCCTTAAGAGAATCTTCTTAAGGGCCAGAACGGTAGTAGAGCACACTGCCAGGAGTAAGTCCTGAATGCAGAGCCAGGAGTAACCCCTGAGCATCACATTTCGGTGTGACCAAAAAGAAAAAAGAAAACATTTTTTTTTCTTAAGCTGTGAGAGCAATAATACAGTGATTAGGTTAGGACGTCTTCCTGACACGATGCAGGTTTCCTCACCATCCCAGTTCACCGAGCCTACCAGGAATGATTTCTGAATGCAGAGCCTGGAGCAAGCCTTGGACACCACCACGTGTGTCCACGTGTAGCCCCAAAATAAAAACAAACAGAAAGGAAAATCTGTGAGACTATCAAGTTTCTTTGTAGCCCCGAAGAATCTGCTAAAACTGTATCAATCAACCCTGAACGCTTGAACTTCATCTCTGACCGGTCACAAGATTACAAAATTGGCACGATGGACCAAGAGGAACTGAACTGTGGGCCAGATTGATAGTACAGTGGTTAAAGCATTTGCCTTGCACACAGCCTGCCCAGGTTCAAATATTGTCCCCTGAGCACCTTCAGGGGCAATTTCTTAGCACAGAGCCAGGTGAACTGGGGCCAAGCCCGGAAGTGTTCAGGGATCACTACTGGTGTTGCTCCTATAGATCCAGGATTAGCGCTGTGCAAGAAAAGTGCCCTGTCCTGTACTATCTGAGCTCCTGCCTCCATTTTTTTTTTCTTTCTGGGTCACACCCAGCGATGCTCAGGGGTTACTCCTGGCTTTGCACTCAGGAATTACTCCTGGGGGTGCTCAGGAGACCATATGGGATGCTGGGAATCGAACCCGGGTCAGCCGCATGCAAGGCAAACGCCCTACCAGCTGTGCTATCGCTCCAGCTCCCCAATATTTTTGGGGGGTCACACCCGCGATGCACAGGGGCTACTCCTGGCTTATGCACTCAGGAATTACTCCCGGGGATGCTCGGAGGACCATATGGGATGCTGGGAATCGAACACGGGTCCGCAGCGTGCAAAACAAATGCCCTACCCGCTGTGCTATCACTCCAGCCTGTCCTGTCTCCAATAGTTTTAAAAATAAGTCTGCTTCGATGCATGCTTTGCATTATGGACCTCCAGTTCTATGCCCTGAGCACCGCATAACGACCCAAGGACCTGGCCGGCAGTAGCCCCTGAGCCCCTCTGGGTGCGGCCCCAACTTCATCCTTCCCCCTCCACTCCCGCAAAAAAACAAAGTCGCGTCAATTCTCAGGACTTGGAGGGGGACAGACTGGGGCACGCGGAAGTGGGGAGAAGCCTCGCCGCCACGGGCTCCAAAGACCCCTGCGCGGCGCCCCTGGCCCAAGCGAGACCAAGAGGCTCGCGGAGGCGCCGGCGGCCGGAGCGTGCTCTCCTCCCCGTGGCGGTGTAGACGACGCCCGGATTCGGACTCAGGGACAAGGGAAACCCCGGGGAGGCGGCGGGCCGCGGGGATTCCTGCAGTCAAGGGGTCCCGGGCCAGGGCGGGCGCAGGAAGGGCGACCCCGCACAGACGCTTCCGGAGCCGAGCGCAGCGGGCGCCGAGACGCCGCCGCACAAGCCCCTCCTGTCTGTTGTGTCTGGGGCCGTCGCCGGGAGGCCACGCCCCCGCAGAGTAAGGCGGAGCCTTGCGGTGACGCCACTTCCGCCCCAGGCAAGGGGGGCGTGGCCGAGAGGCGCTTGGCTTGTGCGTCACTTCCGGCGAGTCCAGCAGCGAGAACGGCAACATGGCTCTAAACGGCTCTGGTGAGGGCTTGGGCTGCGAGGGCCACGGCCGCCGGGGAGCGGGACGCAGCGCGCTCGGGCGAGGCTCCTCGGTCCCTTGTGCCTCTGTCCCCGCAGAGGCCGACGATAGCTCGTGGCAGCCCCCGACCGAGGCGGAGACCAAAGTGCTGCAGGCGCGGCGGGAGCGTCAGGATCGCATCTCCCGGCTCATGGGCGATTACCTGTTGCGTGGTTACCGCATGCTGGGCGAGACGTGCGAGGACTGCGGGGTGAGGGGACCCTGGGGGGCCTGGGGCTGGGGGTCGGGCCGCGGAACCTGCGCGGACTTCCAGGCTGGTCGCCATTCCGTTTTCCCCATCGCCCGCGTCTCACCCCTTCCCCCCGGCGTTTCACCCCTTCCCCCGTCTTGTGCTTCGCCCTCCCCCACCCCAGACGATCCTCCTCCAAGACAAACAAAAGAAAATCTACTGCGTAGCTTGCCAGGAGCTCGACTCAGACGTGGATAAAGACAATCCGGGTGAGGGGCCGAGGAAAGAAACATGGCGCCGTGGCAGCCCGGGAGGGGGCGGGGAGCCGGCGCGTGGGCTGTCCAGGGGCTTCGTGGGCGCCGGGGCCGAGGAGCTCCCGGCAGGCCCAGCCCTCGCCCCCGAGGTGAAAGCTGGGCATGAACAAAGCCGGGGTCAGGCACCGCGTCTCCAGCACCGACATCGCCCATCAGGGGAGGCTCAGGCCGAGCCGGTCCTGACTGACCGTTGCATCCACTTTCTCCTCTTCTAGCGCTGAATGCCCAGGCTGCCCTCTCCCAGGCCCGGGAGCACCAACTCGCCTCCACCGTGGAGCTGCCCCCGGAGGGCACTGGGTCCACTCCGCAGCCCCCCGTCCCCCGTCCAGAGCACTGTGAGGGAGCTGCAGCCGGGCTCAAGGCCGCGCAGGGGCCACTCCTGCTTGGCCTTCCACCCAGCGCTGATGCTGTGGCCTGCACGCAGGAGGCCCTGTTGCAGAAGCTTAACTGGGCGTCTGCCGAGCTGATCCCCAGCACCTCTCTGGAGACCAGCATCCAGCTCTGCAGCCTCATCCGGGCTTGCGCCGAAGCTCTGTACTGCCTCCGGCAGCTGCAGCACTAAACGACCCCCACCCTCCGGAGAAGAACCCTCTAGAAAAACAGCTGTTCCTTTTGTGTGATTTGTCGTAGTTCTGGGCGTGCATGCGGCCCAGCCTGCCTTTTCCTCACGCATCCTGCCCCTGCGGTCCCCGACGCCCCCAGTCTCCGTTAGGGTGCGGGTACCTTTTTCCCCCTGAAGAGGGAACCAGAGGGATGGACCCCTGCGGCCTCCTCAGCCATCCGGTGCCCATCCCGCCACCCCCTAACATCCCCCGAGCGGTTCGGGGTGCCAGTCCCCCAGGGGACACTGCCCTACACCATCCGGACACCCCCATCCTGGTCCCTTTGCAGCTCGCGCGTCCTGGCTCGCGAGGGACCAAGGATGGGTTGGCCTGATGGAGCTTTTTTAAGTCCTCTCGTGATTGGGCAGAGGGCTGAAGCATCGTGGGGGCCAGGCAGAAAGACCGAGAAGGCGCTGCGCCCGCCTTTCGGGCCTCGCCGCTGCCCCCACCCCGCGGCTTGCTGTCCAGGGGTCGCCCCGCCGCCTCGGTGGGCCCCGCGCCGCCGCGACCCTTTTAAGAGAGGCCCCGCCCATGCGCAGGAGGCGGAGCCGGGGCGCCGAGGAAGGAACAAAGCGCGGCCTGCGGGCGGCGGCGGGGCTCGGCCGGCGGGGCCGCGGGGTGCGGGGCCGCGGGCCCCGGCTGGTCGTTGGGGGCGGGGGAGGGCAGCGCTGTCCACGGCGGGCGGGCCATGAATGGGCTGCCCGCGGCCGAGGCTCCCGGCGGCGCGGGCTGTGCCCTGGCCGGCCTCCCGCCCTTGCCGCGCGGCCTCAGCGGGCTGCTCAACGCCAGCGGCGGCTCGTGGCGGGAGCTGGAACGCGTCTACAGCCAGCGCAGCCGCATCCACGACGAGCTGAGCCGCGCCGCCCGCGCCCCGGACGGGCCCCGCCACGCCGCGGCCGCCAGCGCGGGCCCCGCCGCCGGCGCGTCCGGCCCGCGGCGCCAGGTCAACCTGGACTCGGCACTAGCGGCGCTGCGCAAGGAGATGGTGAGTGGGGGGGGGGGGGGCGGGCGCCGCCCCAGGGCAGGGCGCGGGGTTCGGGTTCCGGAGCGTGGTCGGACAGGACGAGGTGGCCGTTGGTGGCCGGAGCTAGCGTGCATTTTTGGTTTTGAGCCACGCCCGGTGGCGCTGGGGCGGCAGGGGGGGTGTGATCGGGGGACCATGCGGTGCCGGGGGCGGGGGGCGGAGGTCCGGGGACTCGAACCCGCAGATTCCTTGCGAAGCGAGCGATCAGTCGGTCGCATTAGCCCCAGCCGCTAATTTTAGATCCAGGGTTTATTTAATCCCTTCCTGTCAGGTCACTGTCGCCCCATCTGACAGGGGAGGGGCAGCGCCTGTTCCGGAGGTGGACGGTTTTGTAGGGGTATATGACGGCCGCAAGATTCGGGGCTGTAGGAAGCTGTGAGAGGGTTGTCTCGGGCTGTGACGTGCATGTGTTGAGGGTGCCTGGGCCCGTTCCCAGCCCACACTCCGTCTGTTGCAGGTGGGGCTGCGACAGCTGGACATGTCTCTGCTGTGCCAGCTGTGGGGCCTGTACGAATCGATCCAGGACTACAAGCACCTGTGCCAGGACCTGAGCCTGTGCCAGGACCTGTCATCCTCACTGCACTCGGACAGCTCGTACCCGCCGGACGCCGGCCTTTCGGATGACGAGGACCCGACAGATGCCAGTCTGCCCCCCGACCCGCCGCCCCTCACCGTGCCCCAGACGCACAACGCCCGGGACCAGTGGCTGCAGGAAGCCTTCCACATCAGCCTGTGATGCCACCGGGACGGGTCGCCTGCACGTGGAAAGATAGTGCCCGCTTCCCCGCACGTGCCCACACACCGCACAGTCCTGGGGCAAAGCCATCAACCCCCTCTCCTGCGGGTGGGCTGGCACTAGGGCTGGCACCTGGACTCCAGCCTCAGCACTGGACTCCCACTTGTCCCACACGTGTGCACCCCACTTTAGCTAGCCACAGTCCGCCAGTGGAGCCCAAGATCTCTTGCTGCCCCTCTCGGCACCCCGGGATGGGGGTGAGTGCCGAGCAGCTGGTCCTCCCCTTTTTGTCGCTATTGGCAGCTGCTGGCAGGGCTCTACCACCTCTGGCTCTCGAGTCTCCCTGGGGACCCCTCCTGCACACCCTCCCACGGCCAGCCAGCCACGGCCCCTTGCTGGATGTTTAGGTCTGTCCGTCCTCCAGGGCTCGATGAACGAATGAATAAATAAAGAAGTAAATAAATGATCTCCGTCTTTCTGTGTTGAGGCTGGGCTCTGGGTGCAGGGGCAGTTTCCCGCTAACGTGGCCCCGCTCCGCCAGCAGGTGGCGCCCGGTCTCCCCGAGTGGAAGAAAGTTGGGCGGCGGGGTGGCAGGGCCACGCTGCCCTGAAAGTCCCAGGCGAGTCACTTCCCTTTCCAGCTGGAGGCTTGGGGACCCCTCACCCCGCGTCTCTCCTTCCCCCTCCCCACGCTGCCTTGGGCTTTCCTGGCTAGCGGGGAAGGAAGGAGCCGCCTGTCTTGAGAGAAACTTTCCACCGGAGAGGGGCGGGCTCGGGCAGCGCAGGAAATGGGTGGGCCTGAGCCCGGGGCCCCAGGCCTGCAGGGAAGGCGCCTCGGGGAAGGGATGGGAGTGAGCCCCGCCCAGCCAGAACGGGGTGAAGTCTGCGAGCCCCGCCTGGGAGGGGGCGACCCGGGATGCCTTTAGCACATCTTAGCCAGCCACGTCTTAGCCTCGAGCCCCCCGTGCCTCTCACACCCGCCACTGCTCAAGGCTCTTGCAGAGGAAACGGGCCCTCCCGCCAGGTGTCAGGCCACCGGAAGAAGCCTGCACACTTGGGGACAGCTGCTCAGGGCCCTGCCCCCCCCCCCCCCCCCCCCCGCCACTTCCTGAGACAGGGCCGAGTTTCGGTCACCAAGAGCGCCTCATGCCCGGGCTACCTGGTGGACAGGCAAAAACTGAGCTGGCACACACCCGGGCACCGGCCCCGTTCAAACAACAGCGTGTCTGGAGCTTCCCGCGGGCCCCTTAACCCCAGCGCGGGCGGCGGCCGGGAGGGAGCGCGCGGATGTGCGCCCCAGGGCCCGTCTCTAACCCGGCCTGGCACCTGCGGCCGCGCTCAGCGGGCGGAGGGAGGCGATAAGGGCCCTAATCTAGGCAGGGCCCTAACCCCGCCCGCGCCAGGGTAAACACACGCGCTCCCCTCCCCGGGCGCATCCGTGGTGATGCCTGATAACGGGCCCCACATTAGAGACGGCCGCTGCCAGCCAGGGCCCCTGCCAACAGCTCCGCGGAACGGTGCAAAAGGCCACCGTAATCGCTCCCATCCTGCAGAGGTAGAAACTAAGGCAGAGGGTCAGCGCTTGGCTCTCGGTTGCACAACTGACAGCTAGCCAGCTCTCCGGGGCCGGGGCTGGGACCGTCCTCCTAGCAGACGGCGGGCGGACGACTGAGTTCAGAGACCGCGGGGGGCTGCTGGCCTGGGCCGGGGCCGGCTAAGACGTGGGGGGCAGGCGCAGGCGGCGCCAGGAGACGGCCCCCCTCCTCCCACCGCCCGCCCCCGGGGCGACACAGCTGGCTCCTGTTACCCTGGGGCCCCTCCGCACGTCGCTTCCCCTTTCGGGGTCTCGGTTTCCCCAGCCTGTGAAATGGGGACGCCCGGACGCCCCTTCCAGGGCGGCGGCAGGAAGGGAGGCGGCCCCCCCTGGCCGGCGGCCGGCGCGCGCTCGGGGCCGCACCCCCTCGGGGTCCCCCGGTGGCCCCGCCAGGCCCCGGAAGCCGGGCCGCCCCGCCCCCACTCGCGCCGGCCCCCGCCCCCTCGGAGCCCCGCCCCGGCCGCCGACGGGGGTGCGGCTCCAGGAAACGGCGCGCTCGGCGCTCCGCTGCGGCCACCCGACGCGCCCCGAGACGCGGCGGACGCGGCTGGACCCCCGGCGGGCGCCGCTGCGGGCCGCGGACACTCCGCACGGACGGGGCGGGCGGCGCCCAGGGGCGCCCGGGAGCCCATGGGGAGCCGGCCCCGCCGGAGCCCCGCGTCTGAGCTGCGGGCAGAGGGGCGGCGGGGACCATGACCTCGGTGTGGAAGCGCCTGCAGCGCGTGGGCAAGCGGGCCGCCAAGTTCCAGTTCGTGGCCTGTTACCACGAGCTGGTGGTGGAGTGCACCAAGAAATGGTGAGTGGGGCGAGGCGCCCCCCGGCCTGCGGGACCCCGTGCGCCCCGCGAGGGGGTCCTGCCTCCCCCGCGCGGCCCCCAGACGTGGGCGCTCCAGCCTGCCCTTGCAGAGGGGGCGGTGGGGCGGCGTTGGGGGTGTCGAGGTGACGGCTCCCCGGGAGGCCGCCGGGGCCAGAGTCCGGGCTTCTGAGCAGCCGCTGAGCTCGCGGCCCGGCCGAGCGGAGGCCTCCGTTCATTTGGGCCTGAGGGCTGATGGGGGCCGCCTGGGCCGAGCTGATGGGGGCCGCCTGGGCCGCGGGGCAAGTTCTGAGGTCTGTGATGACCCCGCTCCAGCCCGGATGGCCACCTCCAGGGACCCAGCCCCGCCAAGAAGAAGGATGCCTCCCCCTCTCCCCTCCAGCCCTGGAACCAGAAGAACACCCCCCCCCCCCCCCAGCTGCCCTGGGCCCTGGGCCGGCTGGAAAAGGCCCCGCATGCCCTTAAAAGGGGAAACTGAGCGCTGGGAGGGCTGAGGAGGGAGGCGGGAGCGGCTTAAAGGGGACTGAGGGCCCGAGGTGGTGGGCCCGGAGGTGGTGGGCCCCTCGCCACTGCGGGCCTGGCCCAGGGCATCTCCTTCACTTGCCCCTACCAGCAGCTGCCCGGGGCACTGCGTCACGCCCTAAATATACGAGCGGGCTGGTGTCAGCTTCCCTTGGCTGGCTTAGGGCACAGCTGTGGGGGCCTCTCCCGCCTGGCAGGGCTAAATTTAGGCTCCGGGGGAAGGCTACTAGGGGCACGAAGGGGCCATGGCGCCCAGAAAGGGGAGTGAGGAAAGGGTCCCGGGGCCTGTTGCTGGGCCCCCGACTGGCAGTACATGAGGGGTCCCCAAGAGGACAGGACAGCCAACAGACACGTGCGGAGCTGGAGTGGAACTCTGGCCTCTGCCCTCTGCCCTGGCATCGGGTGGGGCCGGGGACGCTGGGCTCAGTCCTGGGAAGCAGCTGGGGTGTGGGCAGCGCGTCTGAGTCAGTGCGGGGGGGCGGGTAGGGCTCCTGGAGGCCCGGCCGCACCCGCCCTGCCCGGACACACTCCTTCCCCTTTCTGGGAAAGCCTCTGGGCCTGCTCCCTGCGCGCGACTGGGGTGACCTCGGCATCCTGAGAGGCCGACCCCGAATCCCAGTGACCTGGCCTTGTGTGGAGCGCTCACGCCCAGCCCCATGGCCAGCCAGGCAGCGGGTGGACCGCCCCCCAGGCCCAGGGGCCCTCCCTTGCCCCAAGGTCTGGCCACGGTCGGGCTTCCTCCAGGCTCCATCCCTACTCTGGCCCCCCCACATCTCTCCAAGTCAGCCTGGCATATGGGGTTCAGCTCAAATCCCCCTGGACAGCTGCCCCCGTGCCCCTTGGTGTCAGGACTGCGTCACAGTGGCCCATCCAGGCTCCTGGCTTCCCCTCGGGGCCTCAGGCGGCACGTGGCTGACCCCCAGGCAGGCCTCTGTTAGACCCCCAAGAGCAAGGAGCGATGACCCCTCAGCCCCCCTACCTGCAACTCCCTGACCTTCTCCCCCAGGACACCTGTCCACGCGTGAGCTTTCCCTGGGACTGTGCGCTCTGCCCGCAGGCTCTGGTCTGTCCGTGGCCGGGGGTCAGGGCCCGCAGGGGCAAATAGTGCAAGTAGAGCGAGCGTGTGTCCCCCATGCCACCCCTTCCCCGTCCTCACTGGGCTTAGCGTCTGTCCCACGTGTGTCCCCCATGGCTGTGTCTCAGTGCCTGCATGGCCCCACCTGCTCCTGGCCAGCCCAGATAAGGAGCTGTCCGGCCCTCTCCGGGGGGAGGGCCGTGGGCAGAGGGACAACCTGGGGGTCCCCGCTGAGAAGCCCCTCTCTGCCCGCCTTACCCCACAGGCAGCCGGATAAGCTGGTGGTGGTGTGGACCCGGCGGAACCGGCGCGTCTGCTCCAAGGTGGGGCTGATGTTGAGGGGTGGGCTCCGCAGGGTGGGGGAGGGCACTGGAGGGGGCCGGGAAAGCAGGTATTGGGACAGGGGGACCAGCTTCCGGTCAGATTCCATCGAAGGTGGGAAAAGATGGTGTCAGGGTGGGATGGAAGTGCGGGGTGGGGTGGAGCTTTGTTTTGGGGAGATTCTGACCTCCCACTGCAGGCCCACAGCTGGCAGCCGGGCATCCAGAACCCGTATCGGGGCACCGTGGTATGGATGGTCCCCGAGAACGTGGACATCTCTGTGACCCTCTACAGGGTGAGTCTCTAGCCCCTGTCCCTGCCTAGATGGGGAAGGGGAGGATCACTGTAGCCTCAGGTCGCCACAGTGTGTGTGGGGGGCGGGGGGGAGTCCCTTGGTGGCTAATGCAAAGAGGAGAGTGTAGAGGGGCGAGAAGGAGAATTGTGGTAGGTGTGGAGTTAGCCAGTGGGAGGAATCCAGGAGGTCTCCTTGGAGGAGGCAGCACTTGTTGGCACCAAGGGAATCGGGGAAACATCAGGAGACCCCTCTAAAGGCCCCACCTGGGAAAAGCACCTCCTGGGTCAGCGCCCTGCCAGTCCCTGAGTTCATCCATGTCCCCCTTTCCCAGGACCCCCACGTGGACCAGTATGAGGCCAAAGAGTGGACGTTTATTATCGAGAATGTGAGTGTCCGAGATGAGCTGGGCTCTGGGGTCTTGGGAGGCTCCAGGACTCCCCTGATGCGCTCCCCCTCCCCTCCCAGGAGTCCAAGGGGCAGCGGAAAGTGCTGGCCACGGCCGAGGTGGACTTGGCCCGCCACGCGGGGCCGGTGCCCGCCCAGGTCCCGCTGCGGCTGCGGCTGAAGCCCCGGTCGGTGAAGGTGGTTCATGCCGAGCTGAGCCTGACGCTGTCGGGCGTGCTGCTGCGTGAGGGCCGTGCCACGTGAGTGCCCCTGCCTGCCCCACCCCTGCCCGCCCTGCCCCTGCCGCCCCCTCATCCTGCCGCATCCCCGTCCCCACCGCAGCGACGACGACATGCAGAGCCTGGCCAGCCTCATGAGCGTGAAGCCCTGCGACGTGGGCGACCTGAATGACTTCGCCGAGAGCGACCAGGAGGAGACCCCCGAGGGCCGGGCCCGGGGCACCCTGCCAGGTGCGATTCCAGCCTTCTGGGGGCCAGGCTCCCCTCAGGGGGCCCGCCGGGGTCAGCTGTGTCCCCACATGGGAGCGCACGGGCTTCCCCCAGCTCTGAGGGGACAACAGACTTGGCCCCTGGGGGCCCAGCTTCCTGCCACGTTTCTGCAGGTGCCCCCCAGCACCCCTTCTTTGCCCCTGCTGGGTACCTGCCCAGGCCCGAGTCCCTGAGTCAGCTCCTCAGCACCCCACCAGCTCCCCTTTCCCGGGCCCCACCCCTGCACGGGCTGTTTCCCTTCCCCCTCTCCCTCCCTCCCTCTCCCCTCCTCCCCTCCCCCCTCTCTCTTTTCTTCTCTCTCACTCTCTCTCTCTCTCTCTCTCTCTCTCTCTCTCTCTCTCTCTCTCTCTCCATCTCTGGGACTGTCTCTCCTGCAGGCCGGGGCGCTGCCCTAAAGCTGGGGCATATCCCAGGTAGGCTGAGCCCGCCAGAGGAGGCTGGGGACAGGGTCCGACCCACAGATCTGAGCTCATGGCCCCCTGTCTGCACCCGACCCTCAGATCCTTCTCTGGAGCCGAAGACCCTTTGCAAAGTGGAGGAGGGCCAGGGCCAGCCCCGGCAGGCAGGTAAGGCATAGACTGGGGTGAAGGTGGCACGGACGCCCCCAACCGTGACGGGGTCCTGGCCTTAGCACCCCTCCTTTCTGCCCTTCCCCCCAGTCACCAGCCCCTCCAGCGCTGAGGCCGCCAGCCCGGCCCCTGTGAGTGCCCCTGCGCCGCCCAGCAGAGCATCCCGGGGCTCAGGCTCAGAACCTGCCGCTGTCACAGGGGGCCAGGGGGGGCCTGAGGCTCCCAGGCCCCCGGGAACCCCACCAGAGACGAGGTGAGCTTGGGAAACGGCGTTTCCCCCTCCCTGGCAAGTGTGTGGGCCGTCAGGTGCGGGGCTGAGGCTGGGGGCGCCCCTGTGAATCTCGCAACGCCCCTTCCCGCTCTCTCTGCAGACTCTCGAGACGGCCACGCCCAGACGCAGCCCCCACCCCGGCCCCTCGGCTCCGGAAAGGCCCCGACGCCCCCTGGTCCCCAGGCCCTCAAGGGGAGCAGCAGGTCCCCGAGCCCTCGGGGACTCCCCCAGGAAGAGAGGGACACGCTAGGGAGATGCCCGGCAGGACGTACCCCCCGGGCACCAGGGCAGAGGAGGGGGGCTCCGGGCAGGGCACAGGAGACAGAGCCGGCCTCACGCAGGCGTCAGAGGCCCAGGCTGGGGACACGGGGTCCAAGGTGGGTCCCCTCGATGCCGAGAGCCCCAAGGCTGCGAGAGAGACCTCTGAGGCAGCGCTCGGAGGTGCTCCTGAGGCCCCTCCCAGGGGGTCTCAGGGGAAGATCAGGCTCAGGAGTCAGGGTGAGGGCCCCCCAGTGCTATGCCCACCCGGACCCACTGGACCTGTGGACGACCCCAAGGGGGCCGGGGCAGCTGCAGGGCAGGAGAGAGAGGGTGCGGAGGCCAGGGGCGGAGCCCCGGCTGCTGCAGGGACAGACCTGGGGCCGGCCCCCGCGGTCAGCCCAGCCAGCGCAGGGCCCCAGGTGAGCTGGTCTCAGGGGATCCCACGGGCAGCTGACCAGGGAGCCGAGTCTGGGGTTCCGGGGGTCTGGGAAGCAAGTGTAGGCAATTCCAGGGTCCTGGGGGCAGATGCTGGGGTGACAGAGCCTCAGGAACGGGGGGCTCAGGAGTGTGGGGCTACGAAACCAGTGGGTCAGGGCGGGGAGGGGGATGGGCCCGTAGTGACTCAGGAGCTGGAGGCCCAGAAACCAGAAGCCGGGGGTGTAGGGGTGCTGCCGATGGAGACCCAGGGGGCAGAGGGCCCTGAGATGCGGGGACCCCAGGCACTGCCTGGTCAGTCTGGGGGACCCAGCACAGCCGCTGCAGTGGCTGAATTTGGAGGGGCAGGGGCCCAGGAGACTGTCCCGGACGGTTCTGGGGTGCTGGAGATAGGGACTGAGGTACGAGGGAGCCCCGAGAGGGAAGGGGGGTTTTCAGGGATCTCGGGGAGACAGTCTGAGGTCACAGGAAGCCAGGAACTGGAAGTAGAGCCTCCTGGGGTTCCCAGGTTCCAGACCGAGAGGGTAGGACCTCAGGTATCGGGGGCGCAGGAGGCAGGAGGAGAGCTCCCCGGACCCCAGCTCTTGGCCAGCCCGGAGCCTGCAGTGGGGCGCTCAGAGGCAGACGCTGTTCCAGCAGGCTTTGAGGAGACAAAAGCGGGGGCAGCAGGGCCAGACGCTGAGAATCTGGGGACCCATCCGACAGAACCGGAAGTTACTGAGGCCGAGAAGGCCAAGACTGAGATGTTGGGGGTCCATGAGGCAGAAACTGGACTCAGGGGGACCCTCCAAGAGGAGGCTCCAAGGACCCCGATGAGTAAGCCTGGCGTTTCGGGGCCCCAGGGAGTAGAAGCCACAGTTTTGGGAACCCCCGAAGTGGAGGGTCTAGGGGCTTCCGAGGCAGAGTCTGGAGCTTGGGGAGCCCAGGAAGGAGAGACGGGGGTGCCAGGTGCCCCCGAGAGCCAGGCTGGTAGTAGTGTTGAGGGCCAGGAAGCAGAGTCTGGGGCCTTAGACAATCCCCCCGAGTCCAGTGGGATCGGGGCGCAGGTGGCCAGTGGGGCAGGGCCAGGGGGGCCCCGACCCTCTTCCCCGGAGGGGGCTGAAGAGGACGGGAGGCCGCGGGGAAGCCAGGTAGGGCGGGCCGGGCGCTGTGTCCGCAGCTCTGCATGGAGGCCTCCGAGCCGCCCTGTCCCCTCCTCCCTCGGGGTTCCCGGCGCCCCGCCCTGCCGTCCCGGGCTGCATGGAGTGAGCTTGCCCAGCGCTGCGTTTCTGGACTGACCCTGGGGGTGACTGCTGTGGATCTCCAACCTTGCCTGGCTGGGGCTGCTGACCGTTGGGGGTGATCTTGGCGGATCATTCCCGGAGCTGGAACCCCGTTTGCGTCCCCCTTCCTGGGCGCCGCTGGGCCATGTTCGCTGGGGGCCTCTGCAGACTCAGAGCCGAGACCGCTCCGTGGCTGAGCGCTGGGGCGCGGGCGCGCGTTCCATGTCCCCACCCTTGTGTCCCCAGGTCAGTTCCAGCCAGTCGCTGCTGGAGTGGTGTCAGCAAGTCACTGCCGGCTACCGGGGCGTCCGTGTCACCAACTTCACCACCTCCTGGCGCAACGGATTGGCCTTCTGTGCCATCCTGCACCGATTCTACCCGGACAAGATGTGAGCAGTGGTGGGAGGGGGACAGGCGGGGGACAGGGAGAGGCGGTGGGGGTGCCCGCCCGCTGACTGGGCTCTCCCTGCAGCGACTACGCCTCCCTAGATCCGCTCAACATCAAGCAGAACAACAAGCAGGTGAGACGGAGTCTGGGTCCCCGGGATGCTGGCAATCGAACCGGGGTTGGCCGTCTGCAAGGCAAACGCCCTCCCCCATGGACTCTGGCTCCAGTCCCCGCCCCCTCCTTTTTAAAAACTTATGGGGGCAGGGATGAAACCTGGGGCCGACATAAGCGGACACTGACGCTGGGCCACCTCTCCGGCCCTTTAGGGATGTTTTGCTGGGCTTGGGGGCCACAGCCATGAGGAGCTTGGGGCTGCGGTGGGACCATGTGACTCTGGGGTCCAGCCAGGCACACCTTTTTTTTTTTTTGCTTCTTGGGTCACACCCGGCCATGCACAGGGGTTACTCCTGGCTCTGCACTCAGGAATTACTCCTGGCGGTGCTCAGGGGACCACATGGGGTGCTGGGAATCGAACCTAAGTCCACTGAGCAAGGCAGACGCCCTCCCCGCTGTGCTATCGCTCCATCGCCCACCCCCCTCCCCCATGGCGCACCTTTGAATCCCAATCCTCCTTTGGACCATCTACCCAGCCCAGTCTGTTTTTTTTTTTTAATTTTTGAAAAGCATGTTTATTTTTCCAAAACCTCACATTGGTATGTGGGTGCGGGGGGGGGGGGGGGGGGGGAAACGGGAGGGGAGGGTGAGGTCAGATTTCCCCCCAAGGGGCGGCGGGCGTGGTTAGGCAAACCCTGAGGCCTGCGAGCAGCCGGAACCCCCACCCCGACCCCGCACCCCCGCGCTCCGGTCCCTGACCCCGGCCCCCTTCCTAGGCCTTTGATGGTTTCGCGGCGCTGGGCGTGTCGCGGCTGCTGGAGCCCGCGGACATGGTGCTGCTGTCGGTGCCCGACAAGCTCATCGTCATGACGTACCTGTGTCAGATCCGCGCCTTCTGCACGGGGCAGGAGCTGCAGCTGGTGCAGCTGGAGGGCGGTGGGGGCACGGGCACATACCGCGTGGCGGGCACCCAGCCCAGCCCGCCCGACCCCCTGGACCCGCTGGACGCGGGCGACCTGGCGCAGCGGCTGCGCGAGCACCGGGTTGAGTCGCCCCCGGAACCCTCAAAGCCGACGGAGCCGGAGCCCCGCGCCGACACGGCGCCCTCCCAGGAGCCCCCAGCGGCCGCCCCCGAGGCTCGCCCAGCGGAGCCTCCTCCAGCCGACGGACCCCGGACGGCGTCAGCCCCGGCCGAAGGGCTGGTGAACGGAGCGGGGGCGCCGGGCGTGAAGCTGCGGCGGCCGTCGGTGAACGGCGAGGCGGGCCCGGTGCCCCCGCCGCGCGCCCACGGCTCCTTCTCCCACGTGCGCGACGCCGACCTGCTGAAGAAGCGCCGCTCGCGGCTGCGGAACAGCAACTCCTGCTCGGCCGAGGACCCCGACGCCGCGGCCACGGTAAGACAGGGCGGCGGGGACTGGGGGACCCAGGCTGTGCTTTCAGATGGGAAGAAGGGGCGCGTCACCGGAGGCCCTGCAGACACCCCCAGCGGCAGCCCAATAGTGGAGGCAGGATTCCAGGCTTTGCACTCAGCCTTGGGATATTTCTTCTTCCCGCTGGTCTTTGTCTGTGCGTGCATGTGTGTGTAAGTGTGCATGTGTGCGTCCGCGCGTGCGCATGCATGAGTGTTTGCGCGTGCTTGTGTGTGCGCGTACGTGCGTGTGTGTGCGTGCATGTGTGCGTTCGCGCGTGCCTGTGTGTGCGCGTACGTGCGTGTGTGCGTGCATGTGTGCGTGTATGCGCGTGCGCATGCATGAGTGCGTTCGCGCGTGTTTGTGTGTGCGCGTACGTGCGTGTGTGTGCGTGCATGTGTGCGTTCGCTCGTGTGCATGCATGAGTGCGTTCGCGCGTGCTTGTGTGTGCGCGTACGTGCGTGTGTGTGCGTGCATGTGTGCGTGTACGCGCGTGCGCATGCATGAGTGCGTTTGCGCGTGCTTGTGTGTGCACATACGTGCGTGTGTGTGCATGCATGTGTTCGTGTGTGCACGCGGGTGCGTGCACATTCTAGGGTTCAGCCTGGCGGTTTCCTCTGAGCCCCATGCTTAAGCAGCTCTGCGGGGTCGGGTGGCAGCGCATGGGTTCAGCACGCAGCCCTCTGAGGTCTGTCCAAGGGGATGGGGCGTTTCTTTCCTCTCTCCCAACCAAGCTATACCCACTCCTGTCCTTCAGGCTAGAGGCAGGGAGTCTGAACCCCAACATTCTCTGACCTTGAATATTTTCTTGGGGCTCAGAGGGCCTCAGGGGACCCTGCAGGTGTGGGGGTAGATCCAGGAGACACGTGCTCCATCCCCTCTCCCCCCATCCCCCAAGTGCTGGTCCGACCCTGAATCCTCATTCCGTTCTTCCCTTCTCGCAGTTTGGAGCTGGGGGTCTTCAGGCCCCACCAGCCTCAGGCCTCAGGGAAGGCTCCAGGGTGTCACGTGGACACTGCTGAGGAGAGACTTGCCTGAACTCCCGCAGAGGCAAAAGCAGGGCGCAGTCTCGGCCCCTGGATACTGTTAGCTACCCGGGGATCACCCCTAGGTCATACCCAGCAGTGTTCAGGGCTCACTACTGGTGGGGCTCGAGGGACCAGAATCAAACTTGGGAATGAACCCGGGTTGGTCGTGTTTGTGCAAGGGCAAGGACCCTGCCTGCTGCACTATCTCTCCTGCCCCTGATTTTTTTTTTTTTACTTTGTTTTATTTGCGGGCCGTACCTGGATCTGTGTGTGCACCCTGAGGTGCCCAGGGGATCATGTAGTGCTGGGATCAAACCCAAACCTCCTGTGTGCAAATCCTGTGCTCTGTCCCTTGGAACCATCTCCCTGGCTCTGACCCCTGATTTTTTTTGAGGGGTGTGGGGGCTGTTGTATGCCTTACCTGTCATACTCGGGGCTTCCTCCTGGCTGTGCGCTCAGGGACCCCTTCCTGACAGTGCTCTTCCAGGTGTGGGGCCGGGAATTGGAAACGGGTTGGCCACACAGTGCAGTGCGCACGCGCAAAGCAGGCACTCCCCCTCCCCCGCAAACCCCGTGCTCTCCCTCTGCCCCAGCCCGCGGAGTTTGAAGGAAAGGAGGGGATGAACTCCAAAAGGTTTTCTGAGGCAGCAGCCACTTGAGGGGGGCTGGGCTGGGCAGGATTTCCCAGGAGCCCACGGGGAGGGGGGAGGAGCTGCCAACTGGGGTGGGGGGTGGAGCGGCTGCCCAAGGAAAAAATGCGGCCAGGAAAGGCTTGGGGCTCTTTGGGGACCATGAGATCTCGCCAGCGAGGTCAGGAGCTGAGACAGGGTGGAGCCTGGGAGTGGGAGGCAGGAAGGCCCCTCCCCCAGGGTGCAGGAGGGGCGGGAACCCCGGGACCAGCTGCCCAGGCCCTGGACATATCTCCCTAGCGGGTGCCAGCACCTCTTTATGTCCAAGATGAGGTGCCAGGAGCCTTCTCCTCGAGGGATAAGCCGGGAAAGGCTTTCTTTTTTTTTTTTCTTTTTTGGGTCACACCCGGGCATTGCACAGGGGTTACTCCTGGCTCTGCACTCAGAAATCACTCCTGGCAGTGCTCGGGGGACCATATAGGATGCTGGGAATCGAACCCGGGTCGGCTGCATGCAAGGCAAACGCCCTACCCACTGTGCTATCACTTCAGCCCCTGGGAAAGGTTTTCTGAGGCAGCAGCCACTTGGTGGTGGTGGGCGATGCTCTGTCTGCAGGAAACCCCCGTTCAGTCCCTGACCCTGGACTAGGAGTAGCCCCTGAGCACTGCCAGATGAGGCCCCCAAACCAAAAAAAAGGGGGGGGGCTGGAACAATAGCACAACAGGAAAGGCACTTGCACACGGCCAATCCGGGTTTAATTTCCCAGCACCCCAGATAGTTTCTCAAACCCTCCAGGAGTGAGCCCTGGGCTCTGCCAGGTGAGGGCCCCAAACGAAGACAAGATAAAACAAAATGAAAAGGGAGAGTCCAGCCTGGTCTCCCAGGAGATGTTTCACCCACAGACTGGAGGGGTCTCAGTCCCACGACCCCTACTCTGGAAACCTTCATGTGTGGGGGGAGGTGGTCAGAATTCAGAGCCCTCCCCAAATCCCAGAGGGGGCTGGGGTCAGGCACTTGTCTGCCTGGGTGTGGCCGAAGTCTCACCCAGGAGGCTGGTGGAGCTGCTTGGGGAGGGACTGTGAAAGGGGCTTTTGGGCCTGCCTGAGGCAGAGACATCCCGGTAGGGCGTGAGTCAGCACTGCGGGGCTGAGACTGGGTTTTCCCAGGCCTGGGTCCCCGAGCCTCTGCCTGCTGTGTGGAGGTTCCCTGGGTGTACCTGTCCCTGAAGCCCCCCAACCGCTCCTCCCAGTCCAGGGAGGAATGGTTTCCTTGGGGCTCCGGGAGAAGAAAGGCAAAGGAAATTTTTTTTTTTTGGAGGGGGTGGAGGGACCAAGGAAGGGGTTGTGCCATGGACTCGGTGGCGCCCTCTGCTGGCCAAGAGCTACTGACAGGCTGGGTGGTCCCCAATGATCCAGTGATCGCTCCAAGTTTCTTTCTGGACTCTTTCCCTGAGAATGAGATGCTGAGCTGAGTTCCCTGGCATGGCTCTGAGGTGCTGTTAAAAATGGGGAGGGGCTGGAGCGTTTGCCTTGAACGCAGCCGACCCGGGTTCGATTCCCAGCATCCCATATGGTCCCCCGAGCACTGCCAGGAGTGATTCCTGGGTAAAAAGTCAGGTGTAACCCCTGAGCATCGCCGGGTGTGACCCAAAAAGAAAAAAAACGGGGAGCGGGGCTGGAGTGATGACAGTGAGGAGGGCATTTGCCTTGCGTGCGGCCTTCCTGGATTTCATCTCCAACATTCCATATGGTCCCCGGAGCCTCTTAGGAGTAATTCATGAGTGCAGAGCAACGCCAGGTATGGCGCCCCAAAGCCAAAAATAAAATAAAATGGGAACAGGGCCTGAGTGATAGTATAGCAGGTAGGTGCTTGCCTTGCACGTGGCTGACCCCGGATTTCATCCCTGGCATCCCATATGGTCTCCCAACCCTGTGAGGAACGATCCCTGAGTAGTAAGCTCTGAGCACTGCCGAGGGTGGCTCCCCCCCAAAAAAGCGAGGAATCGTGGCTACCAGTGAGATAGTACAACAAGTAAGGCACTTGCCTTGCATGTGGCCAACTGGCACCCCATATGGTCCCCCAAGCCCCATCAGGTGTGACTCCTCTGTGCAGAGACAGGTGCCTTGGGCACCCCGCATTTATTTCCTCCAGAGCCTTCCTAGTGCCGTGAAATTCCGGGGTTCCAGAGACCCAGTGGGTGTCCCGAGCTCAGGTGAATGGCAGATGGGGAGCAAAGCACCAGGACAAGCCCTTTGGGTTCGCCAGGCCCACAGGAGACCCGGGTTCCACTTCTGGAGAGGGAGACTGGAGCTCTGTGAACAGCTAGTCAGCAGGGGACCTTTTTGGGCAGGGACATGAGTCCTGGGATGGGGTGGGCCAGGAGGACCCATCAGGGCCCAGCCTGGGGTGGGGTGGGGGGCTCGGGGAGGCTGAAAGGCCCCAAGGGAGCCCGACGGGCCCTCTGTGTGGAGTGGGGTCTGGAAGGTTCCTTTCGTGCTGACAGCCCAGGCTGGTGACATCCTTTGGGGAAGTGAAAGGCCGATGGTGGTCAGAGTGACTCGTCCCGTGGGGTTCAGGGTGGTGAGAGTTGAGGATTGGGCCTAGAGGTGAGGGGGGCGGCGTGCTGCCAGTGGGGCGCAGGGGTGAGGAAGACCTCTCGGTTGTGGCTTGAATTGGCTAGCAGGAGGGCGTGGTGGCAGCGGTAAGGAGGAAGCTACTGGCCACGGCCTAAACAGTGGTTTGTGGGGAACGCGGCCCCAGGAGCGCTGGGCAGATGGCCCTGAAGGCTGGAAGAGAGCTGGAGAATCATACAGGGGTTCAGAGCTTGCCGCAGGGGTGCTGCCCTTCCCACCGTCCGCTCTGGTGATGTCCAGGCCCCGGCAGTGAGAATTGCTATAGCTGGGGGTGCCCCCTGTTGGCCAGGAGAAGGAGGTGCAGGCGCAGGGTCCCGAAATCGGCTCCGTGTGGCTAAGGGCCGTGGGGGTGCCCTGGAGGCAGTGCTGATGTGAGGGAGTAGGAGGGCAACAGGGCCCTTCCCAGCCCCCTCCCGCCTACACTCATGAGGAGGTCAGGGAGACGGTGCAGAGGGCTGGAGTGCAGACCTGGTATGCGGGGGCCACAGACTCGCCCCCCCAACGCAGCATGGGACCTGGGAGTATCCCCAGAGCACCGCCCATGGTAGCCCCACCCCCAAAGAACAAAAAACTTCTATTAGCGTCTGGAGAGATAGCACAGCGGGGAGGGCCTTGCATACAGCCGACGTGGGTTCAATTCCCAGCATCCCATACGATCCCCCGAGCACGGCCAGGAGTGATTCCTGAGTGCAGAGCCAGGAGTAACCCCTGAACATTGCCAGGTGTGACCCAAAAGAAACAAAAATTTCACTAGGCCCCAGAAATGGAAATGGCCAGGGAGGGCTCAAGACAGCCTTTGTAGGGGCTGGAGCAATAGCACAGCAGGGAGGGCATTTGCCTTGCACGCAGCCGACCCGGGTTCGATTCCCAGCATCCCATATGGTTCCCTGAGCACTGCCAGGAGTAATTCCTGAGTGCAGAGCCAGGAGTAGCCCCTGTGCATCGTTGGGTGTGATCCAAAAAGGAAAAAAAAAAGGGACTGCCTTTGTGGGGATGTGCTTTTGCTCAGGGGGTGTTGGGGGGCTGTCCTGTGCCAGGACGACTGGAGAGGCAGCTCCACCCTCCCATCCCCCACAGGAAAGCCTCAGCTCTGACCCTGGCTCTGACCCTGGCTCCCCCACAGCCGCAGCCCCCAAACCGGCTCCTGGTGAGTAATCTGGCAGCGGTGCAAACCACATCCTGAGCTGGGGACCTCTGGGGGTGTAGGTGTCAGGGGAACCTCAACCTGGTTTCTGTCTGCAGATGGGAGCCCCCCGTTGGAGGAGCCCCCCCCAAGCCCCGGGGAGGAGGCTGGGCTGGTAAGGAGAGCTGCGGGGAGGGGGGGGACTGGCGGGGTGGGGGGCACCACGGGCGGGCCCGGGTTGAGCCCCCTCCCTCGTGTCCCCAGCAACGGTTCCAGGACACGAGTCAGTACGTGTGCGCGGAGCTGCAGGCGCTGGAGCAGGAGCAGCGGCAGATCGACGGGCGGGCGGCTGAGGTGGAGACGCAGCTGAGGAGCCTGATGGAGTCGGGTGCGCCGGGGAGGGTTCCCTCTGGGGCGGGGGGGCGGACAGCCCTGGTCCCTGGGATGCCCTAAGTGGGGGGACCAGCGCCCTCCCCTGCCCAGACACTCAGGCAGACCTGCTAACTGCCGCCACCGGCTTCAGGGGCCAACAAGCTGCAGGAGGAGGTCCTGATTCAGGAGTGGTTCACTCTGGTCAACAAGAAGAACGCGCTGATCCGGAGGCAGGACCAGCTGCAGCTGCTGTGAGTGCCCCACTTTCAGGCCCCGCCCCCGCCGCCAGACCCCGCCCACACGCGCTCTCAGACCCCGCCTCCCAGAGCCAGGCCCCGCCCCCAGACCAGGCTCCGCCCCTCCCGCCTACCTCCTCACCTTGCCTCTCTTCCTGGCCCCTACTCATCAGGGCCCTTCAGGTCCAGGCCTGCCCTGCCAGGCCGCCTCCTGTCCGGGCCCCGCCCTGCCTGCTCCAGTCATGTCCAGGCCCTGACTCAGCCCGCCCCCACCTCATGTCCGGGCCAGCAGAGCGGAGGGAATCAGCTACTCCACTTACTATGATTACTGCCTCCCTCTTTCTGTGAAGATCTTTTGAAAATTCGCTCAGCCTCTTGATTGTTTTCTTTTCGTGTTTGTTTTTGGGCCACTCCCAGCGGTGCTCAGGATTTACTCCTGGCTCTGCGCTCAGGGATGACTCCTGGACTCAGAGGACCATATGGGGTTCAGGGAATTGAACCCGGGTCAGCAAAGTGAGCGCATTAACTGCTGCACTTTCACTCTAGCCCTGGCTGATGGTTTCCTATTGAAAATCCTGGCGACAGTTTTTAACAATGTTTTCCTCTTTTTACCAATGTTGTTCTCTTTTTAAGGAGAACACCAAGGTCCAGAGAAAATCACTGCTCATGGAGGTTAGGGCTAAGCATCCTTCCCTTCCCTGATAAGGAAAACCAAGTCACAAAGAGATCTGGAGACCACCCTGCTCTCAGGTCTTGCTCTTGCTGCCTGGAGGAGGAAGCCTATTGTGTCCCTTTTGGATTTTGTGCTGGGGGTTGCTCTCTGCAGTGCTCAGAGGACAGGTGGTACCGAGGATCAAACCTGGGCCTCCTACATGTGCCCAGCCTGTTGAGCGATGAAGAAAGTCCCTCCCTTGGGACCGGAGTGATAGTACAGCGGGTAGGGCGTTTGCCTTGCATGCGGCCGACCCAGGTTCGATCCCCGGCATCCCATATGGTCCCCCAAGCACTGCCAGGAGTAACTCCTGAGAATTGCTGGGTGTGACCAAAAAAAAGCAAAAAAAAAAAAAAAAAAAAAAAGGAAAGTTCCTCCCTTTTGGATTTTGGATCATTTTTCAGAATAATTTGAGAATAATTTGAGTCTAACACTGTTTGAGTAATGTTCATCCAAATCCTGTTGGGTTTGTCCTTTTTTTTTCCCCTGAAAGGGAGGCATACCCAGAGATGGAGGGCAGGGATGAGCCCAGGGCTGCCTTGGTGCTGGGTACCTGCAGCCACTGAAGCTATATCCCTCCTGTGTTTTCCCTTTCTTGTGGGCGGGGAGCTCCCAGGTGGTGCCCTGAGGGTTTGGAGGCCTTCTCTGGTGAATTTTAGGACAATAAATGAGCTTCAGTTCAACTTCAGCCCAGAATTTGATGCTGTCTGTGCCCTGGGGCCCTCTGGCTATGCCAGAGGGCTCCAGGGTTTCACCTGGTGATGCATGGGGCACTGTGTGATACCAGGGGCTGAACTGGGGTCAGCCACATGCAAGGGAAGCCTGTCCACTAGACTTTCACCAGCCTCATTCTGCTGCTTGTCTGAAAGGGGGTACAATAAAAATGCCCATTCTCTAAAATATACCTCCAGATGCCCAATGGCTGGAGAATAGTTGGCAGGAAGCCGGCTGGGATCAAGGGGTAGCTGTGACCTGGGCCTGGCCATCCACAGGTGGTCTTGAGGCTGGATGGGGGCCTCCCCTTCTGCTCCCCGTCTCCTGAGTTCACCCCCGGCCTCTCCCCTTAGCATCGAGGAGCAGAACTTGGAGCGGAGGTTTGAGCTGCTGAGTCGGGAGCTGCGTGCCATGCTGGCCACTGACGGTGGGAGACTGGGGGCAGAGGTGCCGTTGGGGGGGGGTCGGGGGTCCCAGGACCATGCGGCGTCCTGACCCTCAGCCCAATTCCGCCCTCAGACTGGCTGAAGACCACAGCGCAGCAGCACCGTGAGCAGCTCTTACTGGAGGAGCTGGTGTCACTGGTGAACCAGCGCGACGAGCTGGTCCGGGACTTGGACCACAAGGAACGGATGTGAGTGGGGCCCCAAGGGGCTACAGGCTGGGAGCCCGCGAGAGGACCCAGGCACCGGTGCGGGGGTGCAGGGCCCCCCGACCCCCGACGCTGGGCTTATTTTTCCATGTGCCCCCAACCCAACACAGCGCCCTGGAGGAGGACGAGCGCCTGGAACGTGGCCTGGAGCAGCGGCGTCGCAAGCTGAGCCGGCAGCTGAGCCGGCGGGAACGCTGCGCGCTGAGCTGAGGCCGCAGCGCCGTTGGTCCGCGCCGTCGGCTTTGCTGGACCCCGCGGGAGACCCCGCGATGCTGCGCCCGCCCGTCGCCCCGAGAGGGGAAGGCGGGGTACTCGAGCCCGGCGGGGCGAAGCCGTCGGGGGACCTCGCTGGGCGCTGCCCAGTCCTATTTATTCGTCCGTTTGTGCGTGTGTGTTTGTGTGTGTTCGTGGGGCCGCGTGGGGATGGGCAGGGGCCTCGGGCGTCCTGCGGAAGCCGTCCCGCCGCCAGCCCGGGGACTGGGGTGCCCGCTGCTGCGCCCTCTCCCGTTCTCTCCTTCCAGTTCCTCCAGAGCAATAAAGTTTCACGGATACTCGGCGCGGCCCTTTGTGGGACCCCTGGGGCTTTCAATAGCCGGAAGGGGGCGGGGTGGCAGCGATAAGACCCAGCCGGGCAGCGCCGGGACCGGACGCGGGAGGCCTTCCAGAGGGGGCGGGTGGCGGGGAGGGGGGCGTTGGGGTGGAGCCAGATGCGCGGCAGCAAAGCCCCACTTCAAAGGAGAGGGACAGAGTGGTTGCCATTTTCTGTTAGCAGGGGCCAGACGTGGGGTGCAGAGTTTGGCATGCAGTCCTGGGGCGCTCCAGCAATGCTCGAGAGATCAGTGCTCTCGTCCACCGTCTGCCCTTCCGGATTTACTTTTTGGGTCACACTCAGCGATGCACAGGGGTTACTCCTGCCTTTGAACTCAGGAATTAGTACTGGCGGTGCTCGGGAGGGGGGGGGACCCTATGGGATGCTGGGAATCGAACCCGGGTCGGCTGCATGCAAAGAAAGGCCCTACCCGCTGTACTATCGCTCCAGACCCCCCCGGATTTATTTTTTGGATGGATTTCTTGTTTTGTTTGGGGGCCACACCCAGTGATGCTGAAGGGACCATGAGATGCTGGGGATTGAGCTCTCTCCCCAACCCTAATTTTACTATTTTATTAACTAAAAAGAAAAAGGTTTTGGGCTGGAGTGATAGCACAGCGGGTAGGATGTTTGCCATGCACGCGGCCGACCCGGGTTCGATTCCCAGCATCCCATATGGTCCCTTGGGCACCGCCAAGGGTAATTCCTGAGTGCATGAGCCAGGAGTAACTCCTGTGCATTGCCAGGTGTGACCCAAAAAGCAAAAAAAAAAAAAAAAAAGGTTTTAGCATACCCAGTGGTGCTCATTGCTGAGTGCTTGAGGGGGTTAGGGGGTGACCAGGGGGGATGTGTGTATCCAGTGCAGTACCAGGGATCGAACCTGGGGCTCTGCATGCACACATATACTCAAGTGATTTTTTTGGGGAGGGGTTGGTGCCACACCCAGCGATATCCAGGGCTCTGGATTGAACACCCCATCCCCCACCTCATGCCAGTGTGAGGCGAGCGCTTTACCCATTGTACTATTTCTCCCGCCCCGCTTTTTGAACCACATCCCCTCCCGTCTTTGATTTAGAAATGTTTATTTTTTCAGATTTTCTGCCCCTTTGTTTTTCAGGAGGAGTGCATTCTTCCCTGAAGTGTCACATTCGCCTTCCAAAGGGTTCCCAGGCTTCCCCCGCGGCTTCCAGCCGTCACCTGACCCCCCTAGCTAGCCAGGGCTTGTCCCGGTGCTGTGGAGGAAGGTGGCTGGGTGCTCAGAGCTAGCTCATCCTGCCCGAGGATGCCAGCTTGGTCCTCAGCACTCTCTGGGCCTCCTGCTCCGAAGAAGTTCACCACGGCCCGGACCTGAGGCAGCTCTGAGAAAGTCTCCACTGCCAAGACCATGGCCAGGAGCCCCAGGAGCAAGTACCCTGGGGGAGACAGGCAGCTAGGGTGGTGGTCTGGGTGCAGACGCTCCCCACCCCGCCCAAGGAGGACCCACCCTCCAGGGTGCCGCTCAGAAGTTTCTTAAAAGCGCCCCCCCCTCCCTCTCCATACCCTCGGGCAGAGTTCCTCCTCCTGTGAGGCTCAGCCTCCCCTGGGCATCTGGGAGTTCGAGTCCCTCACCCTCCGCCGCCCTGGGGGAGCCAGCTTACCGAGAAGTGCCAGCTGGCCAGTGTAGTATAGCGCGGGGTGCAGGCCGCGGCCCCGGCTGGGCAGCAGGTCCCCCAGGCCAATGGTGCTGAGTGACCCGAAGCAGAAGTAGAGCGCCTTCAGGAGGCTGCAGTCACCCTGCACGGCCCACAGCACCAGCGCTGGCAGCAGCCCGAACACACCGGCCACCAGGAGGCCCAGCCCAGCCGCCTGCAACAGTGCAGCCCGGGCCGGGCCCAGCTGCCAGTGGCCGGCCACCCAGGCGCAGGGGCGGCCGAGCGCTGGCAGCAGGCAGTGGCGCAGTGTGGCCCCCAGGGCCAGGGAGGCGGGCAGCCCCAGGGCTGCATAGAGCACGCAGAAAGCCTTTCCACCGGCTGACAGTGGGGCCATGTGGCCGTAACCTGGAACAGAAAAAGGCCCGGTGGGCAGTGCAGTGAGCCCAGCAGGGGGGGTCTCTGGAGGGTGGCTACCGCCTCCCCTTCAGCTTGGCTTGCCTGTGGAAGGCTGCCCGCACATTGCCCGTACAGGCCCTTGGGGGGGACTTGTCAGGGGGCCTGGGGGTCTCTGCTTTCCTGGAATGAAGGGATGCAAAGACGCGGTCCTTGCTGTCTTCTGGGAAGGTGACACAGTCCTGGGCACAGCCCCGCGGCTCTGGGCGCAGCTGACTTCCGAAGAGGGGTCCTGCCCCTCCCTGCCCTGCCCCTGCCAGCTACCTCTAGACCCACCAAGGCTCTTTCATTTCCCTAGAAGTCGAGCTGTGCTGAAACCCAGGTGTGCCCAGGCCCTGCCCTTCGGAGGGAGGCAGGCAGGAAACCTGACAGCGAGGGCCGCAAGAGGCAAAAGAAAAACGCAAGAGGCAAAAGAAAAACGTGTGCAAGGGCAGGGAGCCTGGGAGCAGGGAGTGGGACGTGCTGGGAGAACAGGATCCGCGAGTCCCCGAGGGAGCCTGGGGGAGACATCTGTGAGGCAAGAGGGAGTGGTGGGGACTGCGGCGCCCGGAGCAGGTACGCAGCGCGCCCAGGAGGGCAGGCCTGGTGCCCTCTGGCCTATTGTGGCCCTGCTGGGGTCCTGCTCGGGCACACTAGGTTTCCTGATTTTCCAATGGAAGTTGGCAAGACAGACCTTAATTCAAACATACTGAGATACTTTGCAGGAAAACACCACCAATACCCGCTGCCCCCCGCCATAGACACCCCAGGACTATCGCCACTCTGGCTTTCTCCCTGGGCCTGGGCACAGAACCATGCCCTCTGCTGAGAAGTCCTACAGGCCTCAGTTGTGCCCTTTGGCCTCGGTCACAGGCTGGGACCTCAGTGGGGCTTCCTCCCGCCGGAAGCCTTCCCTGTGTCCCCTCCTTGGTTGGTGATTCTAATCTGTACCCCCAGTTTCTCAGGTTGCCTGTCCAAAATCCACTCCGCCCCACTTGTTTGGCGCTTCCCCTCGGGGCCGTGGGGTCCGGGTGCCTCTCCCGGTCTCTGATGGATGTCAGGGGCGGTCCTGGGGTGGCCACACCCCTGCTGGCAGCTGAAGTTGAGGCACCAGTTGGGGTGTGTTTGGTGTGGGGAGCCCCAACTGTGATGTCAGGCCCGAGAGGGCCTCAGCTCTGGCGCGCCGGGCTGGGGGAAGGGCCGCACCCCTGAGGACCCCAGGAAGCCGCCCTCTCGGGAGCCCATCCTGCTGGGCCGTGGGCGGCCTTACCCGTGGTGGTCAGGATGCTGGCGGCGAAGAGCAGGGCTGAAGGCAGGTCCCACGTCTCGGCCTCGGAGCCGTTGGCCGGGCTGGAGACCCCGTGGGCCTGGGCTGCCAAGGCGGTACCCAGCAGCTCCTCCAGGGCCCCGGGGGGCAGGCAGGCCCCGTGCTGTGCCTGGAAAGTGGCCAGCTCAGCCTGGAGCTGGGTCTGGAGCTGGCGGGCGGGGGGTCCCTCCAGGCCCTGGAGCACCGCGGCCCCAAGCCCCAGAAGGAGAAGGTGGGCCCCCACCAGTAGCACATACCGGGCCCAGGGCCTGAGACCCCCCATAGTGGCCGCCAGCCTGGGGTGCCGTGTGAGCTCCAGGACAGGCGCGTGGGAGGGGCTGGGCAGGGCGGGGCTGGGAGGAGGCGCCAGTGGGCAGGCGGGCACGGCTCTGAGGGTGAACAGGAAGAGGGGGGCACACAGCACTCCCCCTGGTCTCTGGGGGCCGGGTGTGATTCACTCAACTCACGGCGGCTGCGGTGGAGGGTGGGGTGCAGGGAGGGGCGAACCCCAACATGGTTTACGCGAACCCTGAGATCAGAAGACACCCCGGTCCTTCACCTGCTGGGGTTCACGCTAGCCCCCCAGTAGCAGGCAAGCAGAGCAGGGTTACGTGGTCGCGTTCCCCACCCTGGGGGTTACCAGAGGAGGGCGGGGCCCCTAGACCACTCCTGGGGACTTGGGGACCCCATCCGGGCGGAGGCCACAGGATGGGGGAGTCCGTGAGAATGAGTGGAGCAGGCGCCGTTCTAGAGGCCAGAGGTGACACCCCACAGGCCAGGGAGGGCCAGGAGGGGCCCTGGGGTAGGTACGTCTTGGCAGGGTCAGTGGTGTGATGGTGGGTGGGGGGTTCAGAGCTGTGGGTATGGCCTTGATCGCTGGGTGTGGGGACAGCAGGCCGGATCCCTGGTTACCCCCTAGAAAGGTGACAGGCTCTCCTTGGGGAGACAGCTTCCGAGTTTATTTGGCTTCATTGGATCCTGAGGCCGAGGCCTCAAGCCTGGCTTGGGCAGCAGGAAGGCACCCGGAGCAGCCCGGCCCCAGATGACCCCGGGTGGGGCGGCCGGGGTGGGGGCCCGGGCGCTAAGGCGGGGGCAGGAGCCACAGGGGCAGACTTGGTCCCAAGTGCTGGTGAGAGCTGAGGGGGCCCCTCCCCCCCTGCACCTCCTTGCCTCCGGCGCGCCGGGCGCGATTCCCTGAGACTGGCCGTGCCCCTCCCAGCCTGCTGGGCACAGTGTCGGGCCCCAGTGGGGCAGGTGGGCTGGGAGGGACCCACAGGTTGCAGGTGAGTGGGGGGTGCAGCCCCCCTCCAGTGTGAAGGCTTCCTGTGCAGTGTAGTGTTCCTGACCCCCCGAGGGGGCGGGGTCCCGGGGGGGACACCCAGGCAGCGGGGCGTGGCCTGCTGGCGTTCCAGTGTATGCGGGTGGCTCAGGGCCCTGCTTCCGGCGTCCATGGGGCCTGGGCACCCATGTCTTTGGTCTGCGCCCTGCAGTCCTGAGGGCCCCCCCGAAAGGGGTTGGTAGGCGGGGAGTCCCAGAAAGGGTCCGAATCTGGGAATAAGGTCCAGGGTGCCCGGCGGGGTGCGGGCTGCGGAGAGGGCAGGGGTGAAGGCCGGGGGCCGGCAGACACGAAGCTCCACGGGTCGATGCGGCTGCGCAGGGGTGAGGGCCGAGGCCGGCTGATGAGGCCCAGGGGTGGAGAACGTGGGGTGCCAGGGGTGCCGGGAGCCGAGCGGGATATTCCTGGCGGTGGGGAGACGGCACTTCCTGGGAAGGGGGGGGACACAAGGTCAGGCAGGCAGGAAGTCCCGGGCCCCCCGTTTCCGCATCAGTAGGGGCTGTCCTCACTGAGGATGGGGTGGAGAGGCTGCTGGTTTAAGCATACCCACTTCCTCCTGGGGGCTGCAAATTAATCTATTTTTTTTTGGGGGGGGGTTTGGGTCCATTTCTATTTTTGGGGGGAGGGGCGTTTGGGCCACACCCGGCAGTGTTCAGGGCTTACTCCCAGCTCTGTGCTCAGGGGATCATATGGAGGCTGGGGAATGAACCCGGGTCAGCGTGTACAAGGCCAGCGCCCTGCCCACTGAACGATCACTCCAGACCCTCCTCCCTGTTTCTTCCTTATTCTTCTGTGTTTGGGTCTCTCTGGTGAAGGGCTCAGGGGGTCTCAGCTCGTACCAGTGTGGTATCAGGGACCAAGCATGGAGCTCTGTGGTGTGCCCTAGCTCTCTGGGCTACTTTGCCCCAAGTCCCTTATAGACAGGGACTCATCGTGGCCTTTTATATTTGGGTCACACCCAGCGATGCTCAGGGGTGACTCTGAATGCTCAGGAATCGTTCCTGGCGGTGCTCAGGGGACCCTATGGGATGATGAGGATCGAACCTGGGTCGGCTGCACGGAAGGCAAATGCCCTGCCCGCTGTGCTATCGCTGAAGCCCCCATTGTGGTCTTTTAAACCTGGACAGCCCCTCCTAACAGGCGACCCCGAGTTCCAGGACAGTTCGATGACACCAAAGTCCTAGGAAGCCAAACTGCACACAGACGTGGCCACCCCCCTCTGCGCCCGTGGCCTTGGGGCCTGGCTGTGCTGCTGTCCCCAGCCCCAGCCCGGACCCCTCCACTGCTCACCGCGCCGTTCCTCCTCGCGCCGGGGGCTCTTGGCGGACGGCTGGCCACTGGGCACGCCCAGCTCCAGCAGCAGGGGCGCCGGGGTGCGCGGGCGGGGGGCGTCGGGGCTCAGTGGCGAGGCCGGGGCGTCGGGCCTCTTGGGCGAGAAGCGGATGAGCGGGGAAGGGGGCGGCTCGGCGGGGGACGCGGGGGCGGTCGGCGCGGGCGGTGTGGCTGCGGGCTCCCCGCGGGCCCCCGGTGACTGCAGGTCTCGGCCCAGGCCCAGAGAGGCCAGCAGGGCGGTGCCCCGCAGCAGCGCACGCTGAATCAGCCTGGGTGTCCCCGAGGAGCCGCTGCCACGCTCGCTGGCGCCCGGTCGCCGGGGTTCCTCTGGCTCTGGGCTTGGCCGAGGTGGGTTACCTGCAGACAGGTGGGGGGACAGGTTTATCTGATGATGATGATTATTTGCTTCTTGGGTCACACCCGACGATGCACAGGGGTTACTCCTGGCTCTGCACTCAGGAATTACCCCGATGGTACTCAGGGGACCATATAGGATGCTGGGAATTGAACCCGGGTCGGCTGCATGCAAGACAAACACACACACACACACACACACACACACACACACACACACACACACACACACCCCATATGGGATGCTGGGAATTGAACCCGGGTCGGCTGCGTGCAAGACAAACACACACACACACACACACACACACACACACACACACACACACACACACAACACCCGCTGAGCTATGGCTCCAGCCCCAGGTAGGCAGAGGGGTTTAGGCCATCATACTGGGCTTTCCGACCCCCACTTAGGCATTGGGGGTTTGTCTGGCCCGTCTTTCTGACTGCCCCCCCCAGACTCTCTCAGACCTTTAAGAAGTAGGGGTGTTGGGCCAAATAGAGTCAGAAGCTTGTCTTGCATTGTTCGACCCCTGGCACCATACAGAGTTCCCTGAACACCACCAGGAGTGATCCCTGCGTCAGGAGTAAGTCCTGAGCACTGCCAGAGGGGACCCTCCCCCGCCCCCCCCAAAAAACCCCAGAGGCTAGAGTGATAGCACAGTGGGTAGGGCGTTTGCCTTGCATGTGCCGACCCAGGTTCGATTCCCAGCAACCCATATGGTCCCTTGAGCACTGCCAGGAGTAATTCCTGAGTGCAGGGTCAGGAGGAACCCCTGTGTGTCTTCGCTGGGTGTGACCCAAAAAGAAAAAACAAAAAACAAAAAAAACAAAAAAACAAAAACCCAAACGAACCAAAAGGAGGCCTGAGCGACAGTCCAGTGGGTCACGTGCTGCGCCGGCGTCAATCCCCAGCTGCCCGTGTGCACTGCCAGGAGTAAACCCCCAGCACTGCCCCCAAACAAAAGAGAAGAACCACAAAAGTCCCAAAGAAACCTCGAGCGACAAAAAGTGGGGGTGTATGGGGAGCAGCTCAGACCCAGGAACCAGCAGGTGCAAGAAGGGGCGCAGGGCAGGGTGGGGGGACCCCGGGAAGGTCTGTGAGGCCCCCCGCAGCCCCACTCCACATTGGGGCTCACACCAGTGTCCCCGAGGCAGAGCCGCGGCAGAGGGGCGCAGTGAGGCCTGTCTGGGCTGCCTGAGCAGGATGAGGCGAGCAGCCTGGCATGGAGGCTGGCGGCGGCTGCCCACCTTGTTCCAATTACATCTGCTCTGGACTGCAAACACCTGAGTGCCCCCAGCCCCCCACGGGCCCAGGGCGGGCCTGAGTGCATTCCTGGACTCCTCACTGAAGAGGTGATAGTGGGTTCTGTGAGGTCCCCCCCTCGCTCTGGAGCAGGACGCAGTTCCTGGGGTGGCCTCCCCACCTGGGGCCGGGGCAGGAGCCGGAGTGGGCCAAAAATGAAAACTGGGGGGGGCTGGAATGATAGTACAGCGGGGAGGGGGGTTTTTGCCTTGCACGCGGCCGACCTGGGTTCGATTCCCAGCATCCCATATGGTCCCCCAAGCACCACCAGGAGTGGCCCCTGTGCATTGCTGGGTGTGACCCAAAAAAGAAAATAATAAAGAAAGCTGGGAAAGGGGACCTTTGCAGCAAACCAGGCTTGGCCTTCTCAACCACGACCCTCACCCCGTCTCTCTGCAAACCCAGTCAGCCACAGCCGCCCCCAGCGCGGCTGCCGAACACTCCCCATCTTTTCCAGGGCCTTCTAGAACATATCCTGAGGCTCTGCGCTCAGGGATCACCGCGCCTGCGTAAGAGGTGCCGGGGTCAAAGCCGGGTCAGGCACCTGTTCGTTGCCTCCTTCACCAAACAGCTGCAGGCCGGGGCTGGGATCGCCGAGGGCCCACACACCCAGGGGGCGGCAGGGCCCCCGTCTGACGCCCCTCCACTGAGCTGCAGCTGGGTTTCTCCTCCCTGAGGCCTGGGGAACGCATAGCTCTCCCGGTCATCATCCAGGATGCGGCCGAGATGGCCCTTCAGTGAAGCTGCGACAATGATTGCCGGGAAGTGTACACTTGGTTTCATCTCCTGTACACGTGGCAAAGAGTCTAAACCCGGTACATTCCCTGGGTTCGAAAAGATAGCACACTGGGCCAGGCGCTGGCCTTGCACCAGGCCAACCCAGGTTCGATCCTCAGCACCCCATATCGCTCCAGCCCTTAGAACCATCTTTTTTTTTCCTTTTTTTTTTTTGCTTTTTGGGTCACACCCGGCGATGCTCAGGGGTTACTCCTGGCTCATGCACTCAGGAATTGCTCCTGGCGGTGCTCAGGGGACCATATGGGATGCTGGGAATCGAACCTGTGTCGGCCATGTCGGCTGCGTGCAAGGCAAACGCCTTACTCGCTGTGCTATCGCTCCAGCCCCCAGAACCATCTTTTGTTACCCTTAAGAATGCCCCACTGGGGGCCAGAGCCATTGCACAGTGCGGAGGGCATTTGCCTTGCACATGGCTGGCCCAGGTTCGACCCCTGACATCCCATATGGTCCCCAAAAGTACCACCAGGAGTAATTCCTGAGTGCAGAGCCAGGAGCAACCCCTAAGCATCACTGGGTGTGACCCAAAAAGCAAAAAAAGAAAAAAGAAAAGAATGCCTCACTGTTTTCTGATCACATCTGGCAATACTCAGGGATCCCTCCCAGAGGGCTCTGGGGATTATCCAGAGTACCAGGGACGGAATCTAGGTCAGCTGTATGCAAGACAAGTGCCCTTCTCTCTCTGGCTGCAAGAAAGACACTCTCTCTCTCTTTTTTTTCTTTTTGGGTCACACCCGGCAATGCACGGGAATTACTCCTGGCAGTGCTTAGGGGACCATATGGGATGCTGGGAATTGAACCCGGGTCGGCCACGTGCAAGGCAAACGCCCTCCCTGCTGTGCTATTGCTCCAACCCCCAAGAAAGACTTTTTAGGGCCAGAGCAGGTTCAAAGGACCAAACACAGGCTTCGCATGCGGGAGGCCTGGGTTCCATTCCAATCCCACACATTCCTCTGAGCACTACTGTTAGTGACCCTGAAACACCAAGCAGGAGCCGCTTCTGAGCACAGCCAGGTGTGACTCAGAACCAAAATAAAGAAAATAATTAAAAAAAAAATGAAACCCACCCCAACACACACACACGCGGACTGGAAAGGCAGTATAGCAGGCAGGGCATCTGCCTTGCATACAGCAAGGGTTTGATCCCTACTACCCCATATGGACCCCCCAAGCACCACTAGGAGTAACTGGTGTGCCTCACCCCAATAAATTCACAAAACCAAAAGAAGAAACCCTCCCCCACACTTTTTTCTTCCATTTTTTGCTTTTGGTGGTGCTCAGCGCTTACTCCTGCCTGAAGAAGCCCTTTTTAACCACACCTGAGTTAATGACTTTCGTTTGTGTTTAACTTTGTTTTCTGGGTGACACTCAGTAGTGCTTAGGACTTACTCCTGGCTCTGTTCAGGGATCATTCCTGGTGGGGCTTGGAGGACGACAGGGGGTGCCAGGAATGGAACCCGGGCCAGCCACATGTAGGGCAAACACCCAGCCCACTGTACTATCTCTCCGGCCCTGTTTGTTCGGGGGGATCACACCCAGGGATAGTCGGGGCTAGAGCGGGTGCTGGAGGGTCATTCCTGCGGTGGCAGGCGTCCAGCAAGGAAAGCCTGCCCTCGGCCCACGGCTCCACCTCTCCAGCCTTCAAAGAGGCTTCTGGAAAGCCCCTCAGGATGCGGGTCTGTTGGCCAAGAATCCAACTCTGGGATTAGGGCTGGAATTTTTTCAGCCCCACCCCTGTCTGGAGATAGGCTGTAACAGACGTCAATCACCATGGGGGCCAATCAGTGAACCTGGAAGGACGTTCTGCAGTGCGCATGCACCCTGGGTACAAGTCGGACCGCCAGTCGGGGGAGGGTGCTGGGGGCAGGGACGTGCACTGACCCTACCCGCATTGACAACATTCGTTAAGTAAACGGGCCCCTCGGCACCGTGAGCTTTTCTAGTAAATCCTCAAGCCTGCGGAGATACCAGGCCCTCTGATTTAGAATCTTCTAGAAGCCCAGGTCCAAGCTAGATTTGCTCTGAAGTGGTGTGAGGCTGGAGCCAGAGCAACAGCACAGCGGGTAGGGCGTTGATTTTGCACGTAGCCAACCTGGGTTCGATCCCCCCAAGAACCACCAGGAGTAATTCCTGAGCACTGCTGGGTGAAAAAGAAGTGGGGTGAAGCAATCCTGGGGGCTGGGCATTTGCACCGCGGTCTGCTCCGGAAGGGCGGGGTAGGGCGCTTGCCTTGCACACGGCTGACCTGGGTTCAAGCCTCGGCATCCCACATGGTCCTCAGAGCACTGCTAGGAGTAACCCCTGGGCATTGCCAGGTGTGCCCCCTCAAACTAAACAAAAACCATTTCGAATTGGAGGTGAATTGGAGGCCAGTGAGTGTGGGGAGAAACCTGTCTGGCATCAGAGTTAGTTAGTGTGTAGGAAAAAGCCCAAGAGGGCGGGAGGCAGGACGGCGGGGAGGGCACTCGCCTTGGATGAACCCGTTCAATACCCAGCACCAAATATGGTCCTCTGAGCACTGCCAGGAGTAAGCCCTGAACGCTGCTGGGTGTGGCCCCAAAATCAAAAAAAAAAAAAAAAGGATAAAAAAAAAGAGTCCTTTTCTGTTTTAGAATTTTCCAGAGGGGGCTGGAGTGATAATACAGTGGGTAGAGTGTTCGCCCTCCGTGTGGCAGACCTGCATCCCATACGGTCTCCCGAGCACCACCAGGAGTAAATCCTGAGTGCTGAGCCAGGAAAAACTTCTGAGCATTGCCAGGTGTGACCCAAGATGCAAAAAAAAAGAAAAGAAAAGAATTTTCCAGAATCCCCTAATGGGTGCAGCAACTGCTCCTGTTTCTCCTTAACTGACCCAGCTCTGCCTCTGGGCCGAGGTCAGTGCCCCAGAAAATTGGTCCAAACATGTCTGATGGCAGAGTCACCTGTGGAGACACCGGAGGTGACTGTCAGGACTCCCACCGACAGTGAGGAGGTCGGTCTTTGAGGGGGAGCATGAACAGAACGGGCGGGGCTGGGGAGCTGGGCCCAGGGACGGGCACCTGCCCTGTGTCGTGAAGTGGTGGAGCCCTGAGCACTGCTGTGAGGTAGGGCCGGAGAGAGACTAGCGTGGAGGGTGCTAGCTTCACACACCCAGCTGACCTGGGCGTGATTCCCGGAAACACAGTTACCCCTGAGCACAAAGCCAGGAGCAAGCCCTGAGCACAGCAGGGTGGGGCCAAAAAAATCCCAAACCAAACAAAGACAGAAAAGCACAGAAGACGTGACCGAAGGAAGTGAAGCTGCGGCTCACTTTGCGCAAACTTCAAGTGACAGGAAGTTCCTGAAGCCACCGACCTGAAAAACTGCCTCTTTTTTTTTGGGTGACGTGGGGTGGGGTGGGGTACAGTGGGCATACCCGGTGGCGCTCAGGGGTTACTCCTGGCTCTGCACTCAGGGATTCCTCCTGGCAGGGGACTCTATGGGGTGCTGGGACTGCAACTAGGATTGGCCGCATGTAAGGAAAATGCCCTCCCCGCTGGACTATGGCTCCGGCCCCCCCCAACAAGCCTTTTCTTGGGGAGACGGTATCCGTGCAGCTCCCTGACCTGGAGAGCCACACTGAACAGGCCCAGAAGGTTCCGCCACCGAACTGTTCTCTCCCCTCCCCTTGGCACCCACCATGGAGAAGAGAAGGCCAGGACGACCTCGGATGTAGTAAAAAGGGCTCTGTCTTCCTGCCTGCTCCCCTTCATTCTTCTGGGGGAGGGTCCCCAAAAGGGACTCTGGGAAGTGCCGTGTGGTTCCAGCCACCATGGGCACTTGTCTCCCCATCTCTGGGTTCAGCTTCCCCAGGGTCCCCGGGGGGTCCGGCTCCTTGTCTCCCTGCCCTGCGCACAGCCTGAGGAGGATCCAGGCTCTGGGCATGTTTTCCTCCCTAAGACTATAAAGGGCTTTTATTTATTTTACTTTTTTGCTTTTTGGGTCACACCCGCTGATGCACAGGGGTTACTCCTGGCTCTACACTCAGAAATTTACTCTTGGGCTGGAGAGATAGCACAGCAGGTAGGGCGTTTGCCTTGCACGCGGCCAACCCGGGTTCGATTCCCAGCATCCCATAAGGTCCCCTGAGCACCACCAGGAGTAACTTTTGAGTGCAGAGCCAGGAGTAACCCCTGTGCATCGCCAGGTGTGACCCAAAAAGAAAAAAAAATTTACTCCTGGTAGTGCTGGGGTGCTGGAAATTGAACCTGGGTTGGCTGCGTGCAAGGCAAACGCCGTACCCGCTGTGCTATCGCTCCAGTCCCTATAAAGGGTTTTAGCCTCAGTACCTCGCCCTGTGAAATGCGGGGGGCTTTTCACATGACACGTTTCTGACCAAAATAATATCTGGGGCCGGATCGACAGGACAGCGGGGAGGGTGTTTGCCTTGCACACAGCCAACCCAGGTTGATCCCTGGCATCCCACATGGCCCCCTGAGCACTGCCAGGAGTAAACCCTGAGCTTTGCTAGATACGACCCAGAACCCCTTTCCCACCAAAAAAAATGGTATTTGATGAGGTGGGAGCAGAGCAATTGCATAGCAGGTAGAATGCTTGCCTGGCACATGGCTGACCCATGTTCGAACCCAGCACCCCATATGGTCCCCCGAGCTCCACCAGGAGTGATCCTTGAGCACAGAACCAGGAGTAATCCCTGAGCACCACCTGTGTGATCCCCAAACAAACAGAACAAAGACAACATCTGAAAATGTAACTGCGGCAAAGACCACGCAACCCTAAGTGCTGTCATGGCAGGGCGCATGCCAGGGAGGTTCTCCCTCATTTCTGGCATTTGTGGCAAGTTACCAGCTCTGCACCGAACCTCAGGGTCAGACCTGGGATCCTGGACCAGCCCGCCCTCCACGAGTGTTCCCGTGTGTGGCGTGCCAGCTCCATATTCTGCCCTGTCTTTTGTCGCCGACCCCGGGGACCTGCCGCAGGGGGCAGCAAGCACTCACCATTGAGTGTTGGGGGTGTGGAAGGAGATCCAAGGGGAGATGAGTCATCTGAATCCAGGTACCACGTGGCTTCCTCCATGCGGGACCTTCTCCTGGGGGCGGGGTGGGAGTAGGGAGTCACTTGTGAATCACAGGACTGTGGAGGCAGGGGACGCTGGGACCGGGGCAGACAGGCTCTCACCTCCCGTTCTGGGCTTCGCCGGGCTTGGGGGAACTGGGACCCCAGGCCCAGCACGCTCGCCGCTCTCCGTTGCTCGAGTCCTCCAGGCGGCGGGGGGATTGGCGGCCCCACGTCTGGCCTGGTTCTGCAGGCTCCACTGCGGGATGGCGGGAGAGAAACGGATGGACCCAAGAGCCCTGGTCCTGCCTTCCTGCCTCCCCGCCAGGTTCCAGGGACGTTTCATGGAGGGGAGGGAGCACACAGGGCCCTGTGGCTGCCGGGTCAGCTCCACGCCCGGGAAGGGGACAGGGCTGGGGCCAGCTGTGGGCTGTGGCACCTCTAAGCCTTGCAACTGGCCTGTGCTGTGTTGCACTCACATTGCTGCAAGCTGTCACTGTGGGAATTGGGCTCTACTTTAGCTGTGTGATGCTGAGCGAGTGACTTGGTTTTTCTCTTCTATGAAACTTTATTGTTTTTTCTTTTTTTTCTTTTTGGGTCACACCCGGCAATGCACAGAGGTTACTCCTGGCTCTGCGCTCAGGAATTACCCCTGGCAGTGCTCAGGGGACCATATGGGATGCTAGGAATCGAACCCGGGTTGGCTGCGTGCAAGGCAAACACCCCACCCACTGTGCTATTGCTCCAGCCCCCTACGAAACTTTAGATGACAGTAATAATGTTGCTATCACATAGGTTACTGTGAAGAGTTAAGATTAACTAAGTATCCTCTCAGGATGGGAGATGCCCGATGAGAGCAACTATAGACCAAACATGATTGCCATTCAATGTCTCTTTTGCAAACCGCAGCACTCAAAAGGAGAGAGAGAACAAAAGGGAATGCCCTGCCACAGAGGCAGGGTGGGATGGGGGGTGGGAGGGATACTGGGATCAGTGGTGGTGGAGAATGGGCACTGGTGGAGGGATGGGTATTCGACCATTATATAACTGAAACCCAAGCACAAAAATTTGTAAGTCTACAACTGTAGCTCATGGCGTTTCACTAATAAAAAGTTAAGGGAAAAAAAAAAGATTAAGTAGCTGGAGAATCAGTGGTACATAGTATCAGGCAACTGATTTGTTTAGACAAATCAATCAAAATCCTCCAGCTGAGTAACATTCACGTTTTGCGAGTTTGAAACGAAAGTTGCCTGAACTCTGGGAACTCAAGAGCTGGCAGTGTAGACCAACAGGGGCCGGAAGAGGGTTGGACAGCAGGGTCAAAGGGGAAAGGGGCGACTTCTTACATTGAATGGCTCTGAACCGGGGAAAGGTGGGCGAGTCTCCTGCCCCGACCTCGAAGACATTTCTCCTCCGGTCTAGGCCGGGCGAGGCCTGCACGGTGATGCGGTGTTTGAAGTCTGGGATTGGAAGGAAGCAAAGTAGACGTTTGCTGTGACCCAATCCCGGCCCCCAGACCACGCAGGCAATGCAGGGATATGGCCCGGCACGGTATCCGCAGGAACCTGGCCGGCCTTACCGGCTCTCTGGGCCTCGGGCTTTCGGTGAGGAAAAAAAAATTTAAGGATTGAAATCCTTCAAACGGGGCCTGGATTCCACAACAGGAGAAGCCGGGTGTAGACTTAAGTTCCCAGGAGACGCCCCGCCCCGCCCCTTCGGCCCGCCCCGCCCGCCGCGAGCCCCGCCCCCTTCCCGCCCGCAGCCACTCCCAGGCCGCCATGCAAATAGCCCCCTCAGAGCCCGCCCTCCCCGGGACAAAACACACTCCCGCCCCCGCCCCTCGGGCTTCAGATCCAGGACCCGCCCACGAACGCCCTGAGCCAATCCGAGCGCGGCTAGCCGATTCGCCTGACCCCACCCCGCCGCCCACGCAGCCAATGGCGGGGTGGCGCGCGGGCGCCCGCCTCTTACCCAGCGGCATGCTGATGCGCTCGCCGCCGTCCCGCGCGCGGAGTTTGCTGCGCTTGAAGGTGCCGCGGCGACGGCGCACGTGCGGCCGCTCGCGGTCCACCTGCTGCAGGAGTAGCGTCAGTTCGCGCTCGAACACCTCCAGCTCCCACTGAGCCAGCAGGTGCTCGCGCCGCCGCAGCTGCTCCGCCTGTGACCGCTGCTCACGCGCCGCGCGGGTCAGCTCCTCCTCCCGGCTCAGTAATTCCTGTGCGTTCCCAGCGAAGGCAGGGGAGTCAGGCCTGAATGAAACCCCCCGGGGCGGCCGCCCCCACTCTGCTCCCGTGGAGATTGGGGGAGCTCACCCTCCACCTCACCCCCCCCCCCACGCACCTTTTCCTTGGCCCGCAGCTCATCGAAGAGGCCTTGGATCTCTCTCTTCCAGCCTTCCTGCATGGAGTGGAAGGAATCCCTCGGCATTTCCCGCAGGACTTGCGCTTCTATGGCTTCCAGCTGCTGCAGGATGGAGGCGAAGTCGGGCCTGCGATGGGGGTCCTGGGCCCAGCAGTCTGGGGTCACGGCATGGGAGGAAGGGCAAAATAAGAGCTTTGAGGGGACGTGTCTTAGCCAAAGGGGTCTGCTCTTCCACTCCTGCCCCATCCCCTTACCGGCCATGAGTTGCGCGAAGGGCTCGGGGCAGGTGGATGGGATGGGCAGCGTAAGCTTGTTCACCGCCACGCCATAGGCCACAGCGAGGCAGTCGATGCCACGGTAGGGTACCTCTCCGGTCAGCAACTCCCACAGCAGCACCCCGAAGCTATGGAAGAGACAAAGGGTACGTGATCGCTTCTCTCTGAACTCCTTGCCACTCTGCCCCAAAGCTGCCAGAACAGAATGTTTTGGATTCCTCCCCCTGGTTCCACTTATCTGCCCAACCCAAGATTTTTTTTTTGGGGGGGGGGGGGTTCATACCCTGCCATGATCAGGGCTTACTTCTCGCTCTATACTCAGGAGTCCCTACTGGCAGTGCTTGGGGACCATATCAGGAATCGAACCCAGGTCAGACTTGTGCAAAGCAAGCACCCTAACCCTTATACTATCCCCAGTCCCACCCCTAGATTTTGATGTTTTTCTCCCCTTGGGGCCATGCTTGGTGGTGCTCAGGGCTTATTCTTGGCTCTGTGTTCAGGGACTGGTCCTCAGGGGAACCATATGGGGGTGTCAGGGATTGAACCCGGGTTAGCTGAGTGCAAAGCTAAGGCTTTACCCGCTATATTATTTCTCCAGCCCCCAGCCTCAGGTTTTGGCAGCTACCTCTGTCCTCTGCTACCTGAGCTGGCCCTGTCCAGTCCCCACCGGGCCTCACCTCCAGACATCGCTGCCCTTGGAGAAGGTGGAGGCCTTGATAACCTCAGGGGCCATCCAGGCGTAGGTGCCCGCAGCGCTCATCTGTGTGGTTTTATGCCACTCGCGGGCCAGGCCGAAGTCAGTGATCTTCAAGGTCTTGTACTCCATGTCATCACCCTCAATGGGCTGCAGCAGCAGAACTGGAAAAAGGAGGGGTGGGATTGTGGGTGCTTCGGGCTCACTCAGATGAGGGAGACAGGGGAGGAGCTGGGAGCACATAGTTAGTCCCCCGAGACAACTGGGTAGAAACTCTCAGCCGCGATGTCATCCTGCTCTGAAGAGCCCGCAGGTGGGTTTGGGGGAGAGTAAGATAAAATCAACGTTTATGGGCCAGAGAGATAGCCCCAGGGTGCTTGCTCTGCATGTGGCCAACCTCAGTTTCTTCCCCCGTACCACATACGGTCCCTGGAGCACTGCCAAGAGTCATCCCTGAGCGTGGAGCCAGGTGCAAGCCCAGAGCACCACCAGGTGTGGCCCAGCATCCTTCCCACCCAAGAAATAAAGACCCAGCATTTATGGAGGGTTCCCAGGGCTGTAGCACACATGCCTGGAAGGTGGGTGCCACCCTCCCCACTACCCAGAGCAAGGAGATGCCTTGATTCAGGTCCCTGCAGGGATAGGGATAGCAGAGGTCCCAAGCGTGCTGGTGTGTTTCTTTTCTTTTTTTGCTTTTTGGGTCACACTGGCGATCCACAGGGGTTACTCCTGGCTCATGCACTCAGGAATTACTCCTGGTGGTGCTCAGGGGACTATATGGGATGCTGAGAATTGAACCCGTGTTGGTCGCGTGCAAGGCAGACGCCCTCCCCGCTGTGCTATCACTCCAGCCCCGCTGGTGTGTTTCTGAGCCCCCAGCAGCACTGCAGCCCGGCAACCTCCAGGGTTTTGCTGTCCAAAGCAGAGTTGGTTGGTTTTGCTGAAACAGGCGTGTGAATCAGCACCTCGTTTGGGGTGGGGGGTAGAGGGAACCCCTGGGTGAGAGAGGCAGCTGGGCAGGGAACACGGGCTCTGGTGCCCGTATCTCAGGGCGCCCTGGGCAGCTGCTCCGGGGACAGGGGGACACTAGAAGCTACCTGCACTTGAAGGGAGAGGCCTGGGGTAGGATGAGGGGGCGGGGGCTCGCAGCTTTGACCCAAAGGAGCCACCATAGTCTTGACTGAAGGAGAAGCAGCAAGGTGCCTGTCTCACATGGAGGCAGATGGGTGTAGAGGCAGAGGAAAGACAATCAGAACGGTCCAGGGCGTCTCTGACTCCGTGCCCACCTTTGGCTCTCCAGCCGGGGTGACTGACAGCACCCCGGCCAGGGAAGCATGGGGCAAGCGGGGCAGAAGAATCTGAAGGGGAGATGGTAGATGTGGGGTCCTTAGTTTGCAGGGTCGAGGGTCCCAGGCGCTAAGGGCCTGGTGGGTGAATAGGGCAAGCTGCCCACCCTCCCTTGGATGCCTTCCTTGGGGCCTGTCCATCTGCACTTTCTCACGCCCCCCCACCCCCGCTGTCTGGGCTCCCCAGGTACCAGCTGCCCCCGCCCCACTCCACCAGCACCCCTCAAGGGGGGCTGCAGCTCTCCGGGTTCTCAGACCCTCCTTGCGGTGCGCCCTCCTTTCCCGGGGGGACCAGAAAGTCGAGGAAGATGCAACAGCGCCTCGGTGCCAAGTCTCAGCAACGCACCAGAGCCCGGGGTGGCACCTCCTGTCTCCCTCCCTCTCTACCTGCTTCCTGCAGCGCCCCCGGCCCAGCTGGGGCGCTCAGAACCCTCCAGCCAGGAGCCCAGCCTCACAGGCAGCTGTGGGTACCCGGGCCCCGCCTTCCAGCAGCTAAATGAGGCCCAGGCTCTGGCCCCTCAGGACCTGACACCCACCAGCCTCACCCTTATCCTCACCTCTGCCAACCTCCACCCAGTTCCCACTTTTCTCCACCTATTGCCAGGCTGTGCCAACCTAAGCGGTTCTGGTGCTGTCTGAGGCAGACCCCAGTGCCAGGAGGGCACGGAGCAGCCTGCAGGAGCCCCAGGCCCCCTCCTGGCATCGGGCGGGCCTCTGGAGGCTCGAAGCAGCCCACACCTCTTCCGCTTTCCTCCCCTGCCCCCTACTTCTCCTTTTGGGGAGGCCTGGGCCAGGTCTGCAACTGGTGTGTAGGGAGGGGGGTCTTTTGGGGGGAGACTTGGGGGAGGTCAGGCCCAGGCCGGGCTGGCTGGTCAGTCCTGTGACTCGTGGGCTTGGAGAATTCCCCTCCTCTCCCCGCCAGGCTTCCGCACAAGGCCCCCATTGTCCAGGAAAATCACGCCATTGTTTCCTGCCTGCGCCCCCCTAGTCCTGGGGCTCCCCCCCCAATCCCGCAGACAGCACCCCAGGCCTAGGCCTAGGGTTTGCGAGGTGGGAGGTCAGGCTCCTGGACGCGGAGGGCACCTGCTGCCCTTCACCCCACCCCCATCCCTGACTCTGCCAGGCAAGCAGGGGAACTGGGGGTGAGTGGGGGTGCCATCCCGGGCTCCTTCCTCTCCTGCATGCCCCCGCCCCCAGCTCTTTCCTTCCCTGCAGGCAGCTGGCCTGGGGAGGGCGCCCGGGCTGGAGCAGAGGCAGGAAGCCGGCCCAGGGGCAGCAGGAAATGCAGGAAACGGTGGGGAGGGCGGGGAGCAGAGGCCTGGGCTATTGTTCCATTTTCTCTGGAAAGAAAACTGGAGGAAAAACAGAAGATAGGGGTCCCCCTCCCCCAGGGCCTTCGGGGAATCCCCTTCAGGCTGGGAAGGGAGTGGGGGTCCCTGAACGGGGAGGGCCCTGGAGGTCGAGGATGGGGGGCTGGCGGCCCTCTCCTGGCAAGGTCAGTGATCTCTCCAAGCCCCCCAGCACACTCCGTCCATGCCAGAGGCCTCCAAGGAGCCACGTCCACCCCGCTGTGCGCTGTCCATTCGCCCCAGTAACTGCACTGGGCAGCCCCTCTACACCGCCTTTTGCACCCACAGGTGATCCCACGCCCCCACAGCTGTTGGCTCTTGATTTCCGAGCCCCAGATCCCACCGGGTGCCTCTCCGAATGCTGCCTGCTTCTGGCCACCGGTGAAACCTGCGCTGTGGAGCCCTGGAAACTGCCACTGGCCTGTCTGACCCGGCCAGAGCTGGAACCATCCTGGAACCCACCACGCCCACCTGGGCTGGGGACCCACCGCCCCAGCACACGGGCACCAAGCACCAGGGCGTGCCAGCCCGTTAGGCCATCTCAGACTCCCAGGCACTCCCTTTCTACAGAAATATAGGCTCTGAGTTGCAATAAGTAGCTAGAGGTCAGACAGACGGCCAGGGGAAGGGGTGGGGCCAGCCTTGACCATCACAGGGTGCCCCCATCTCTGGCCCGTAGCTGCCCGCTGTAAATGGAGGAGAGAACCAGCAGGAGTGTGAGCTCAAGGTGGAGAGAGAGAGAGAGAGAGAGAGAGAGAGAGAGAGAGTGTGTGTGTGTGTATGTGTGTGTGTCTACCTGTGGGCTCAGTAGGATGCTTATGGCCCATGCAAGGGTTCCCCTACCCTTGTTTAGTTTTGAGCCACACCAGGTGACACTCCGGGATCATTCCCAGTAGTGTTCCAGGGACCAAACCCGGGTCTCCTGCATGCAGAGCGCATGCCCCAGCCCCCTGAGCTCCGCCTGGTCAGAGCTGCTGGTTTTTTAACCTGGAAGCAGGCAAGATAGGTGGAGGACCGCTGGGATCTCAGGGCTCCCTTGCTGCTTTGGAGTCCGTGTGAGCCCATGGGCAGTCCTGGTTAGCTGTGGCTCCCCTAGAACAGGCGAGCTGGCCCCCAGGAGACCCCTGGGAGAGTTCAGGGTGTGACCATCGGAGGGGGCAGTCGGCGCATGCGTGGACCCTGCCACCCTCCCACCGTGCTCCCCAGAACTCACTGTTGTTGGACTTGAGGTCGCGGTGGATGACAGGCACCAGGGCCTCACAGTGCAAGTAATGCATCCCGCGGGCGATCTGCACGGCCCAGTTCACCAGCACGTGGGGGGGCACACGGCGCCCGGCGAGGGCGCGGCTCAGGGGCCCCCCGGCCGCGTATTCCATCACCAGGCACAGGTTGGGCTCCTCCAGGCACACGGCCTTCAGGGCGATGATGTTGGGGTGCGCCAGCATGGCGAAGAGCCGGGCCTCCTGGCGCACGCTCTCGGCTGTCACGCTGATGTCCTCGTCGGGGTCCTGGCGCGCGGCCTTCACGGCCACCAGCTCGCCCCTCCAGCTGCCGCGGTAGACCTTGCCAAAGCCACCGATGCCAATCACCTCCTCCAGACGCAGCTCCTGGAAGCTGGCCACCTCGCAGGGGGGCGGGCCGCCCCGAGACACATAGTTGGACGGAAAGATGCCCACTTGGCCGCCCACCTGGCCCGCCCACCAGCCCTCGTCGCCGGAGATGGCCGCGTCCCGGGACAGCACCTCCACACGGTCGCCCTTCCGCAGGGCCAGCTCGTCCTGCCCATTGGGCTCGTAGTCGAACAGGGCTGTCCACACCGGATTGGCATACGCCGCCGCCGCCTTCGGAGACCCCTCGGGCCAGCCGCCGCCGCCCCCACTGCCCCCACCGCCACTGCCGTTCCAGGACCCCAGCGGGCTCTTGAGGAAGAGGTTCTTCAAGGGCTCCATGGCTGGGATCCGGTGTTGGGGCGTGGGGGGACCTTCCTAGGGTGCCCCCGGTCCCCACCCCTGCCGCCTACCGAGGCCCTAGTCCCAGAGCCTGGGCATCCGGGCCCCGGCTCTCAGCCCCAGACCCACGCCTCTCTGGGGAGCCAGGAGTGCCGCCTCCCGGCCCCCCGCATCTCGGGCTTCGGGAGGAGGGGCGCCCGGGCCGTGTGGTCAGGCGCGGGGGGTGGGACCCCGGGGCCTCCGGCGTCTCACCATGGCCGGTTCGGAGGGGCCCGCGCGTCTGGCCCTCGGTCCCGGGCGCCGGGCTCTGGCTCGGGCCAAGCGAACGGCGGGGCCCGCGGGGCGACTCCCGGGCTCCGGAGGGTCGTGGCCGCGCGGGGGCTGACCCGAGCGTGCTGGGCGGTGCGAGCTGCCTCCTCCCGACCCGGGCTCTCTCGGCCCGACGGCTCCAGCCCCGTTCCCTTCTTCCTCCTCCCTTTGTACTTTGGCCCCGGGGGCGGGAGGCAGAGGTGGAGGGTGGAGTTTCACTTTTTTCCGCTCTTCTCCCTTCTGCAGGAAACAGCATCAGATGACGCGGGCTGGGGAGCACCGCTCCCCTCCCAGCAGCCAGGGCGGCTGGGCCGGGGAGTTCCCGGGTAGGCGGGACCGGGAGGGGCCGAAGGAGGACCAGGGTGTTCCTGACACCCCCCACGGCCCCCCGTCACAGCAGGCTGGGGACGAGCTCGATTCCCTGATAGGGGCTGGCCAGTCTCGCCCTCTGGCAGGGGTCGAGGAAGCTGGCTGGGGAGGGGGGCTAGCCGAGCCTGATCTCGGTCTCCAAGTCGCTGCGCTCGGTGACCCATCTCCCCGCTCCTCTTTCGCTTCCTCTCTGAAGTGGGCGCCGGGGCTTGGCTCTGCAGAGCCAGCAGAGGGCGGGTGGGGAGACCGCAGGAGCATGGAGCTGGCCGCATCCTAGTTCTGGGAACAGGTCGTCTGAGGCTCTTTACCTGGAAAGAACCCACTTCCTCGTGTCCCGTCGCCGGCGGTGGAAAACCTGACACTGCTGTCCTTAGGTCTGCCCCGTGACTGGATCCAGAATCGTGAAGTCGCCCTCACCCCCGATGGGTCGATCCCCAGTGCCTGGAGCCTGTCACTTTAAGAACGGTGCTCTCCGGCTTCGACTACTTCTGCCTGCCCGGGGCAGCCGCCCGCCCCACGCCCCCGACTCTGACCCGGAAGTAGAGGCAGCAGCTCGGGCCCCGCTCGTGACGTTGAGGTCCCGCACGCACAGGGGCGGGCCCAGAGCGGCCGCTCCGGGGCTTCACGCCCCCCCTTCTCCCCGCCCCCAGCAGTAGCTCATTGGAAGAGTTTGGCGCCAGTTAACTGCGAGACAGCGGCCACTGGCCAATGGCCACTCCACTAACCCTTCGGTTCCGCGCAGGGGCCTCCGCCCGGCTGGCCGTGCCTGCCTGTGCGCATGCGCCGAAGCGCCGCCGCCGTGCGCCCCGGCCCCGCCCTGAGACCCGGGCTCTGCGCACGCCCGAAGGGCTCCCCGCCGCCCTCCGCGCCTCCGCCGCCCTGCGCCTGCGCGTCCGTGCCGGCAGGCTTTCCTTTTCCGGGTCCCCGCTGGACCGGCCGGGCGCATGCGCCACTGTCCGCTGGCGGCTCGCGGCTCCTTCTTCCGGCCTCCCCCTTGGGTCGGATCCCGCTGAAGCCGGGCCAGCGCGAAGCCCCAAACGAGTGACCTGTGACCCCGGAAGTGGACCTTCGGGTCCCGGGCTCTCCCGGGGCGGGAGGCGAGAGCGCCGACGCCTGCAGCCCCCGGAACACCCACCCCACGCCCACCTTTGGATGCCGCCGGCGGGTGCCCGGCCCGTGTCCCGGACCCGCCTGCCCGCTCGGCCCCTCGGAGCACTCGCGGGCCGGGGGTGGGGGCCCGGACCCCGCCCCTGATGCGGCTCCACCCCCGCGCCCGGGCCTCGCTCCGCTGACCGCCGGGCCGGCCCCGCCCCCTGCCCGCACCCGCGCCCCGCCGAGCCCGCTCCCCGGCCGGGGGAGGCCATGGCGTGAGCGCGAGCCCGGGCCCCGGGGCCCTCGGGCGCCAGGCGGGGCATGGGCCGGGGGCCGCCCCGATGAGGGTCCCGGGAGGGGGGCGCGCGCAGCAGCGGCGGGGCCATGGGGTCGCAGGTGCTGCAGATTCTGCGCCAGGGGGTGTGGGCCTCGCTCACCGGCGGTTGGTTCTTCGACCCGCACCAGAGCACCTTCTCCAATTGCTTCCACCTCTACGTCTGGATCTTCCTGCTCACCTTCCCCTTCCTGCTGTACATGGTGAGTCGCTGTCGCCGCCGGGCAGAGCCCCGACGGGTGTCCGCGGCCCGGCCCGAGTCGGGGGTGTGTCTTGGGAGTAGGGATGCCGAGAGGATGCCAGGCCGAGTTTGGGGGTTGTGGCAGGGAGGCCGGTTTTCCCTTGCCTGATGCTGGTGACCTTGAACACCCCCCCCCCTTAATCTCCGACCGATCTCGGAGCGCGCTCCCCTCCCCCCGCCCCAGGGCGTGGGGATCCCAGCTCCCCGCAGGGCTCTGGGAGGAGGGCTCTGATGTGCTGCCCCTGCAGGTCCTGCCCCCCAGCCTGATGGTGGCCGGAGTGTACTGCCTGGTGGTGGCTGTCATCTTCGCGACCATCAAGACTGTCAACTACCGGCTGCATGCTATGTTCGACCAGGGGGAGATCGTGGAGAAGCGCAGCTCCACGGCGGGGGAGCCAGAGGAGGAGGCGGCCCAGGGGGACAGCAATCCACCCAGGTGGGTGGTCTGGGCAGCGTGGGGAAGGGCCGGGTCAGGACTCCCCGGAGTGGCAGGTCAACGGTCAGACGGGAATTGAACTGGCGTCCCTGAGAAGTTGTGTGTATGTGTGTGTGTGTGTGTGTGTGTGTGTATAACATGAGGAAGCTCCGTGCAGAGGGGAGGTGAGATGCTGTCTCTTGCCAGGGACCCCGGCGTGGAGATGACGGTGTTCCGGAAAGTGAGTTCCACGCCCCCCGTGCGCTGTAGCTCCCAGCACTCCGTGTTCGGCTTCAACCAGGTCTCGGTGAGCGTGGCCCCAGCCCGTCCCCACTGCGCGCAGAGCCCGTCCCCACGCACCGCCCCTGACCTCTCTTTCCTCTCTGTGCCTTGGCTCAGGAGCTGCTTCCCCGGATGGACGACTCCGGGCCCCTTCGAGGTAGGTGGTGGCGTGGCTTCAGATGCCCGTGGCACCCCGGGGGCCAGGGCTGCAGCTGACGGCCGCGCTCTGCCGCAGACATCAAGGAGCTGGTGCGGGAACAGGGTAGCAACAACGTCATCGTCACCTCCGCCGACCGCGAGATGCTGAAGCTGAGCTTGCAGGAGAAGCTGAGTGCGTGGCACCCCGGGGCTCCCCTGGGGCGTGCTGGTCCTGCCGGAAGGGGGCCTCAGCGAATGTCCTCTCTCTGGGACGGGCTCGAGGGCGTCCAGCGGACCCCTCTCTTCAGCTCCTGTCCTTTCCGTCCCTGACAGTCGGAGACCTTCCGCAGACGCCCCCGGGGGGCATCCCAGACCCGTCCCTCCCCAGCACCGACTCTTCCGAACGCTCTCCGCTGGCTGGAGGGGGCGTCCCCTGGGGCGGGAGCAGCGTGGTGGACACGCCGCTGAGCCCCCTGCTGAAGGGCAGCCTCAGCCAGGAGCTGAGCAAGAGCTTCTTGACCCTGACCCGGCCCGACCGCGCCCTGGTGAGGACCAGCAGCCGCCGGGAGTCGCGGCGGGGAGTGGGCGGCTACCAGCCCCTCGACCGGCGCAGTTCGGGGGAGCCCCTGGCGCAGAAGGCGGGCTCCTCGGACTCCTGCTTCAGCGGCACCGACCGGGAGACCGTGAGCAGCTTCAAGAGCGAGAAGACCAACTCCACGCACCTCGACAGTCCCCCGGGCGGGCCGGCCGCCGAGGGCAGCGACACGGACCCGCCGTCGGAGGCCGAGCTCCCGGCCTCCCCGGATGCCGGCGTCCCCTCGGACGACACGCTCCGTTCCTTTGACACCGTCATTGGAGCCGGAACGCCGCCAGGCCCAGCCGAGCCGCTGCTGGTTGTGCGGCCCAAGGACTTGGCGTTGCTGCGGCCGAGCAAACGGCGGCCGCCCCTGCGGAGACACTCGCCCCCCGGCCGTGCCCCTCGCCGGCCCCTGCTGGAGGGGGGCGGCTTCTTCGAGGACGAAGACACGAGCGAGGGCAGTGAGCTGAGCCCGGCCTCTAGCCTCCGCTCCCAGCGCCGCTACAGTTCCGACAGCTCCTCCTCGGCTTCCGGCTACTCCCCGGAGAGCTCCCGGGGCGCGGCTGGAGGTGCCCGGAAGCGACGGGCCCCCCCTGGGGTCGAGGAGGGGACCGCAGTGCCCCCAAAGCGGCCCTACGGGGCCCAGCGGACACCTAGTACCGCCAGCGCCAAGACGCATGCCCGCGTGCTGAGCATGGATGGCGCTGGGGGTGACGTGCTTAGGGGCCCCCTGGCTGGCTCCAAGGCTGAGCTGGAAGCCCAGGCGGGGGTGGACCTGGGCGCCGGGGAGCCCACGGTGCTACCTGCTGAGGCCCGCAGGGGACCCGACGCCAACCAGCCTGGCTGGCGGGGGGAGCTCCAAGAAGAAGGTGCCGCCGGGGGAGGTGAGTGCAGGGGGCGAGGTGCTGAGCTGTCCGGGCCTCTGCTTGCGACCAGTCGGGGGCCTTGTGGCAGATGACAGGGACACCGGTGAGGGACCAGTCAGGCAAACCCTCAGCTGAGAGGGGACAGCAGCGGGCCACTGAGGCCGCAACGTCACAGTGCCGGCTCAGGGCCAGTGTCCACCCCGCCTCCTGGCCCTCGGTGCAGCACGGAGTGTTCTGGAGTCCACACGCGCTGCTGCCTGCTGAGGGGTCAGGTTGGCCGGGCTGGACCCGGGGCCCCAGCAGGGAGTGGTTGGGGGCTCGGCCTGACCTTGAGCTCCAGGCAGCAGGCCCTGTGACTGCCAGGCCTGTCGTTCACGCTCTGGACCTCTCTCCGGCCAGCCACGGAGGACGCCAGCAAACGAGACCGTTCGAGCAGCGTCCGGCGCTCCCAGGCCATCCGCAGGCGCCACAACGCCGGCAGCAACCCGACGCCCCCCGCCTCCGTCATGGGCTCCCCTCCCAGGTGAGCCCCACTGAGCGTGGGCCGGGGTGGGGGCCCTCCCGCATGCTCGGGGCTGACCCTCCACTGCCCCCTCCCAGCAGCCTGCAGGAGGCCCAGCGGGGCCGCGCCGCCTCCCACTCGCGAGCGCTCACGCTGCCCTCCGCCCTGCACTTCGCGTCCACCCTGCTGCTGACCCGCGCGGGTGCCAACGTGCACGAGGCCTGCACCTTCGACGACACCTCCGAGGGCGCCGTGCACTACTTCTACGACGAGAGCGGTGAGCCCGTTGTGTCCAAGGCGTCGAGGAGGGAAACGGAGGCGGGGTCTGAGGTCTGAAAGGAGGCTTGAGTGAGGACGAGTTCAGGACGTTTCCAGAAGCAGCTGTATGCGGGGAGGGGGGCCCTCAAGCCTGCAGACTGCCCTTCCCCCACTCCCCGAGGCTGTGGCATCCCCCCTGGGGGGCTTGGCACGGGGTTGTCTTCCCGTCCCTGACTGTCCCACCCCCGTCCCAGGTGTGCGGCGCTCCTACACCTTCGGCCTGGCTGGCGGCGGCTAC